AGATTATCGAGGATGACCTGGCAGCAGCATCTCGCATGAATCCTATTTTGCAACGGTCGCCTTTACGCAGTCACTCCTGTATAGTGCCAGGTGGGTAACACATGTAACGTGTAATGAGCAGATGCCAGACCATCCTGTCGTCCCATCCTCGTATCGGCAATGGGTTTTCTTGCAACACGTGGAAATATGAAAACATAATTATTCCAGTTTTATTAGCACCAAATCACACACTAAACTGTTTCCGTGTCAATCATGGATTTCTATGAGATTTAAACGAGGCTATTTAAATGAGACGGTTCAAGGTCGGAAGCTGGGGAAGGGATATTTAATATCACGGCAGAAGTGCTGTCCAATTGTCTGACATGGGCCATTTCATCACCTCTGCTTGGATAGGACTTACTCTGTATTAAATTGTTATTAGCACAATATTGAAAACAACAACTGAAAAATGTTTCATGAGAACATGTACTTGTGGTGTCTGTCTCGGTAGAAGAGAAGGGAAAAAAAGAAACCATTGTTGACTGATGACCAACCACTGTGTTTATTTAAGTTGTGTATCATTAATTATTATCGATTAATGGCGAAAATATATACCAGCTATTGAGTAGAGACGCACAAGAAATCAGCTCTAATTCAAGTTAGTGAAACCGTTATTGAACTATCAACTGATTGGATTACAATCACAAAAGAATGCTCTAGATCTACACTATGATGATGGCCGCAGACAGCAAAGTAGCAGCGAACAGTGTGTTTGTTGTTTGACGCCGCACTCAGCAATATTGAGGATATATAATATAGTGCATTTATATGGTGCCATTTCCAAACATAAGGATGCTCAAAGCGCACAATCTGGTTGAATATTGACAGTCAGGGAAAGCTTGGCGGAAGGGGAAAGTTGTTAGTAGGGCTTTGAGATATGACAAGGTTTGAGAGTCTTTGAGTTGTTGGGGCAGATTATGCCACTGAGTAGCTGCGGCATATGCAAATGATCTTTGGCCATAGCTGCCAGTTATTGTATTGGGGACAACAGGCAGAGACTTGGTCTGGATATTTGAGAGTTCGAGCAGGCTGAGTCTGAAGAAGGCTGCGGAGCTGATCCGGAGATACATTGGAAGGCGAGGGACTGGAGCTTGAACTTGATACGGAGGTGAACTGGAAGCCAATGAATATATTTGAGTACTGGAGTGATGTGTGCCTGTCTGGGAGCTAGAGATGAAATTCGTGCAGCTGTGTTTTGAACATGCTGAAGTCTGTTGTTCAGAGATTTGGGAGCATTAATCAAGAGGCTGTCACAGTAATCAAGACGTGACTAGACGAGAGAGATAATGAGGGTTATAGTTGCACTGGTTGAAAGGAGTTTTCTGTGCAGTCGTGTGCAGTTGAGCCTTTTATTCCAGAAACCATTGCAACTTTCAAACGTCCTTCACAAACCCCGAGAGTTATTCCCCTTTTTCGACGGCATGGTCACCTTGCATACCGCTAAAGAAAATGGAGTGATCTCCCTTAGATCAATGTTTAACTGAACCTATTTTGTACCTTATTACCATATTTCACATTTCTGACACAGTTGATGTTCCTTAGGATGAAAAACCAAGTTCAGGAGACATTGCTGACATGGGCCACCATAGTCAGTTGGGAGTCAAATGTGTCTCCAATGTTCCTGGCTGAGCTGGCAAGAGGAATCGGTGTTGTTCCAACTGTAATGTAAGCAGTGTTTTTGTGTTTGACTCACAGGTCCGGTTAGGAGTGCCTCAGTTTTCTCATTGTTGAGCTTCAGTATTTGCGGTCATCCAGTGTTAGCACTGGGGCGGTGGGGTAGCCTAGTGATTAAAGCGTTCGCTCGTCACGCTGAAGACCCGGGTTCGATTCCCCACATGGGTACAATGTGTGAAGCCCATTTCTGGTGTCCCCGGCCGTGATATTGCTGGAATAAGATAAGATAAGACTTTATTATCCACGTAGGAAATTTGGTTTACATTCATACGAACTCTGGAGCATTTAACAATGCTAAAAGCAGCGTAAACCACTCACTACTCACTGAGTAGCACTGACTGATCTGAGTGAGAGCCGCTGATGCTGAGGAAAGACCCGGTCTGAAGAAGTTAATGATCTGGGAATCGTCAGAATGGAAGTGCTTCGGAAGATCATAGTTTCCAATGATTTCGCCCAATTGTCGAATGTAGAGGGTAAATTACACCGGTCCGAGCACTGAACCTTGTGCAACACCACATCTAAACTCAAGCGCCGATGAAGATACCCCCTTCAGATGAATCGATTGATGCCTGTTGTCGAGATATGATTTGAACCAGGCAAATACAGTTCCTTCGATACCGATCTAAACTTTAAGACGGGATAGGAGACTACTGTGGTCGATGGCGCCGGTCTGAAAATAATCGAGTCTGGGCCAGGCAATCATGTGTTACATCAGTGTTCAAAGTGCAACAAGAAAAAAACGTTCCACGCTAAGATTTCTCAGTTAATAAAGTTAGCGAAGCGGCAGTTAAATCTATAGTTATTAACCTTGAACACACATAACTGGCAGGTTAAGGAGGTTCATTTAACATATGATGAATTCCTACATCTGGTGTAAAATGAATTTGATTAACGTAAACCATGGGAATCGAGAGTAAAGCTTAAAGCAAAACGACATATATGTCACACCACGCCATCGGCAAGGATAATGGTTGAAGGTATGCTCTTAATAAAAACTTTCTTAAGTGTTGACTAAGACAAGAATTCCAGAGTGTGCAAAAATCGTGCAACAGATTGCAGTAAAGAAGAAATGCTTACTTCACTTATATCAACAGTTAATCTGACAACCTGTTAGTACTGAATGATCCTGACCCATTTTCTCAAGTGAAGTTTGCTGTCACCAGCACACACAAAAATATAGTGTAAACAGTAAAGACGTGTGCGTAAGGTGATATCTGCATACATAAATACATATACACGCAAATATGATTTACCTGTGTGTGTACATACATACGTACGTTGGTACGTACGCCCGTCCGTGCGTGCGTGCGTGCGTGCGTGAGTGCGTGTCCGACTTCAAAACGTTTGCAAATGTGGATGTACATGTGTGTGGGTAACTCTGTGTTTCTGTTTGCGTGATGTTACTCTACATAACCTCGCGGTATCATTCATTATAAATTTTAGTCGGTTACAGTAAACTTAAGGGGTTTTATCAGTTCGTATTGTCTTTAATTACCACTTTATGTGAAGAAAATATATCCCTTAGTATTATCGAATGTTAATCCATTGTTTCGCGTCGATTCCCAAGCCGAAACTCTACACTAAACGGAAATCATGCTACTAAAATGTGCGATATAATTAACAGTTAAACTAAAATTAACTAAGTTTAAACTACAAGGGAATTACAACGGCAGTGGCAAAATAGGGTGGTGGTAGAAATGTTACAGGCAGTATAATATAAAAGCAGTGATTGTAGAAAAGAGACAGTGTTGATAATATTTACCTTGCTGCAAATGTGGTCAAGATTCCCAAACAGGCATATGCTTTGTATCCAAAATGAAACGTGATCACCACACAACTGCTGGTAATGTGAGATGCAATGTAAGATAACAAAAGCCCCTTATATAAAACGAAAAAAACTACCAGAACTTTCCCTCGGTCTGGGTAAGACCATACTAGAAAGGTATGCACAAGTCTTTAAGGTAATAATTAATAGTTTAAATGATAATAATCAATAGTTTAAACGATATTTTCTAAAAGATCCGTGAAGATCCGGGTTAGAATTGATCTTCAAGTAACACATGCTTGTCGTAAGATGGGACTAACGGGATCGGGTGGTCAGGCTCGCTGACTTGGTTGACACATGTCATGGGTTCCCAGCTGCGCAGGTCGATGCTCATGCTGTTGGTCACTGGATTGTCTGGACCAGACTTGATTATTTACAGACGGCTGCCATATAGCTGGAATATTGCTCAGTGTGGTGTAAAACTAAACTCACTCACTCTAAAAAATTTTATCTTAGTATATTTGTAAACATTATTGTCCAAACAGTGATTCGAACCCCTGTACCATAGAGTGCCATTGATTAGTATGTGGTTGTTGTTTAACGCCGCACTCAGCAATATTCCAGCTATATAGCGGTCATTGATTAGGAAGTGACACGCCATGACGGTGTAACAGTTTTTGGAATACAACATCTATCCTTACATACTGATTAAGGTCCGGTAGTTCTTACTTTAATTGCTATGAAACATATTTTTACGTATTGTTAAATTCTATTTCAGGAAATGCCACACATCTTGGATCCATTGCAGCTGCTTCATATGTTAGAATAGATTTTGTGCATTTAGCCGTTAATGCCGAAATCCATGAATCTGGGGGTCATTTCAAATACAGACTAACATTACAGACATTTTAATAATTGATCACTAATTAATCAGCTCTCAAATAATTTGTAAACCGGAATCGAATTCTCTGAATTGTTATACCACGCTGTGATAGAACCTGTAAACTCTGTCAATCTGTATCTATTGCTGATGAATTTCACTATATTTTTTAATGTCAAAATATTTGTATCAAAAGTATCAGCCCTTATAAGAAACATAAACTGAGACTAGATACAGCCATCTTGCATTATATTTTTGTATTTATATATACTATATATTATTATTTATCTTTACGTTTGCTTTTGTATATAAAATATTTGTTTTCGCTCTTGTACCACCAACCGTGGTTATTTGAGAATAAATGATTGATTGATTGATTAAACTCGTTGCTTATATGGCAAGAAACATTAACTTCCGAACAAGAAAGTCTCTGTGGGTATTTTTTTTTACTCTCTTTCTTGTGATTGTCGGATACAGTGTATTTTACCATATACGACACTTTTTTATTTGTAAATATTTCCGTGGCTCGAAATATGTAGAAGTGTCGAATGAGATTTTCTATGCTTAGCTAGTGGTAGGCAACTTACGTAAGAAAGCATAGAGTTATCTCTCCTTAGTTATGTTTATGACCGGAAGATGTCAGCATCAGATCATGTGATCCATTCTGTCAAAGTAGATAGGTGCTTGTGAAGGTGACACACAGTTTTCCACAAAATTTCACAAAATGATGCCCGAACTGACTTTCAATATTGACCACGGCTATGTGGAAGGTCTTGTCCGTGGCTTCAAAGCAGGAATATTACGCCAGGCTGATTATTTGAACCTCGTGCAGTGTGAAACGCTTGAAGGTAATTTTGCGTTGATTCAGAATAATACTTGCGTTCTAAATCCTGTGAATGTGAACATACTGCTACCCGTTTGTCGGCGTGGATCCGGTATGTGACGTTTATGTCCTGTTGATTGTGTAGATTGTAAAGTTCCCGTTATTTTTATCGTTTACACGTATTGATTCGATTTTGTGTTGTCAAAGTGTGAGTGATTCGTTTGTTGTTATTCATCATGTGACATGTACATCATCATGATAATTTACAGGATTTACAGTCAGAAAACCAACCTTAATTTCGGTCACTGTCTCCATGCGATTGTGAAAAAAGCTATGGGGCCAAAGACATAAACCACTATTTATATTAAACTCTATTCCCTGATTTCAAATGATAATCAATGTTATGAGTATTGGCCCATCTGCATCCACCTGTGCATTTAGCATATATCACGTGTGTATGGATCAGTGTTTGTATGAAGACATATTTCTTCAATGTTTGACAAATGTCTAAACTCATAAACCACATTTTCATGCTCATCAGCAGACAATTAATTCGGTACCCAGTAAATGAACTTCATCAACATAAGTAGGACTCCCCAACCAGAGCTTACAATTCAAGGCTTGGTCTTGGTCTATCTGTTGTAGTTTAGTATTATTATTGTTTGTTGTTTTGGTGAAACATACATGATCCTATGATTAGTCTTGCCTGTTTAAAGAGGGCGTGATAGACAAGGAAGTAGGTCCCACTAAAACATGATTAATTTTCTTATATGAGCCCCCAGGGCATTATTCAGTGTTATGACCCTGGGATGTTACGAATAATCTGTTTACTTCATCCTGTCACTGTATCCCTGTCTCTCCAACCATGTTTATTACAATTACATTGCAAAGTGATAATGAAACTATCCATTTTGTTTAAAAGAACTTAGGGAAATTTGGTGTGCTGTTTTCTATCAGGTTCTAAGGTGATCATGTTAATCTGTGAATCAGATTCATAAGGTTTAACATCAGAGTGAAGATTCTGTTGAACTTATATTAATATGCATAGGGATGTTTAGTATGTTTACGTTCAATTGTTACTGTTATCAACATGATTAATAACTATGGCTATTGCTGAAGAGCTTTATGCCATTTCCTTCATAGAAAGATAATAACTGTCAGAAAATAGACTATAGTCTCAATAGGGTAATATGTTCTTGATTGTTTGGCTCTTAATCCTTAAACCTATCATGAATGTTCAGTGAAATTTGTACATGTTGTTTATCGTGTTTTTTTGTGCTGTAGTTATACAATTAATTTGTGTATCACATACATAGAAATTATGCAAAATTGTGTGGTTTACTCCTCAGAGCAATGTGTAAGGACATTTTAATTTGATTAATGTACGAATATAATTATGATAAGAGAGTAAGTGTATGTGTATATAATGATGATAACATTTAATATGAGTTATTGAAACTTGATGGTCATCTACCATGACTACTCTAGATGAGCAAAGCAAGAAAGTATATATATATTTCATGTACAAGTCAGGAGAATCGAGAATAACCTTGATCACAAGTGATGAAAACCATGTGAACCTATTGAGTAAACAGACATGATAAAGCTTGAGTCTGACAAGAAGGGACGCATTAGTGTACATTGACTTCACTGAGTTTATCACACCATGCTGACTGTAACGAAATCAATGCTAAAGATCATTTTTGTCAGAGCTGTCAATATGATGGACTGTATGTCCATATGTCCTTACTTGTGAATATTTTCTTTATTTAGTTGAATATTTATCCTTCCTTTGGCCCCCCCACCCCTGTAGAGCCCCAGTGTTGTCAGTGCAATGTTGAAGGTATGGCCTCATATCTGTGTATCCTGGTGAACCACTGGGTCGTCTGTGCTGCAATGCAGCTTGGAATTTTTATGGGGTGGTTTTCTTATTGAGCTTGTGTTAAAATATGTTTCCACATCAGATGAAAAGTCAGATTATTAAACATTGTTAAACAGTGGTACTGCTGACATATTGAAAATATGTTTTAAGATGGAAATACACCTGAGATATTGACTTTTGTCGCCTATTTTTGGCTTAAATTTGTATTTTGTATTAGATACCATAGAAACAAATCAAACAGGCATTTATGTTATATGTTTAGACACTTCATGACAGTTGATGTTGTTCGACAGGAAAACAGTATGTTATTATCAAAATATCTTGTTTTCTTATGAATGTTATATATACATGTTAAGCAGTGTTTTTGAAATCTTGCTGCCACAGGGTGTTTCATCAGATTATTCTCTTCGATGTAGATTGATGTCTCCCAAAACATTTTGAAGGTTTTATTCTAAGTTATTAATGTAGCAGAAGAATGTCCTGACAAAAGTAAATACAAAGTAATGCAAAATCACTGTCAGTTAGTTGTATTGTAGCTGTGGTAAACAGAGAGTAGGTTTCTATATTTGGCAGTGTGTTGTATGTTCATCACATTTTATAAAAAACATGGGCATTGGACCAACACTGTTTGTTTACATTAGCCGTCATTATCAAATTCTGTCAAACACGACAGTGATCTTATTGCATCATGTCTTTCTGTATTAGTGGAATTGTACAAATAAGCCCTGTTATTGAATTTTGTCTCTTCCCAAAGTTTGATGATGAATAGAAATGCTCAATGAAATGATGCTACTAGTTTTCCATTTGCTCAGCTTATTCATTTCTTGATGCATTATGTATCAACAAAACTATGCAAAACCTGTTATCCCATTTTATCACAAAATTGATATCACTGTTTAGACAAGTGAAGGGAGACAAACCAGTGAACTTGACCCACAAACTCTTACTAGTCTTGGCACCACTGGTGGTGTGGACTGTTACAATTCCTGTGACTAGGACAAAAACATACGGTGACAGGTCACTCGAGACGACTGGCCCTCATCTCTGGAAAATCTTACATCTCACCTCAGAACACAACCAGATTTAGCTGTTTTAAATCAAATCTAAAGACTTGTCTCTTTGCTGAAGCAATTGAACTCTATGTGATATCAACACCATCTTAGAGCCAAAGCGCGCCTTTGAGCGGTTTACTGATATTGGCGCTATACAAGTATTTGTATGTATGTATGTATGTATGTATGTATGTTGTATGTATGTATGTATGTATGTTACACAGTAGGATTTGTCAGGGATGTGCGGTATGGAATTATGTGTCTTCACAGGCATTCAGAAGTCACCATGTCATTCCACAGATGAAGGGTCCAGAAGTAGCCATGATCAGTTTTATTCATTGTCAACTTGTCATTCAATCTGTGATATGACCTCACTACAGTGATGCTTGTCATATCTTTGTGTGTCACTGTATCATCGTAATAGTACTATTCCGGGCCCTGTTATTAAAGCTTCATGAATATTTAATAGAGCTGTAGTGATGCATCAAACTATCGATGGATTGCAATTGATGAGTGTTCGATAGTAATTAATCAGTGTTAGAAATGAAAAGCTATTGATGCATCGATAGTATGTGTGACTATCGATAGTTTAGTAATTGACTTCCGTTGATAAATATGCAGCGCAAAATACAGGATGTTTGGGTGCAGACTTGCAGCTTCATTGAGTTTGTTTTATCTGTTTACTTCATTTAGGTTTCAAGTTTCTTGTCAGTTATGAAAAGAGACTGAAACTACTTCAGCTTGTTTTTATTTCATATAAACTATACATTCATTTGGTAAATTACTTCAAATGAGACAATTCAAGGAGAGAAAAACTATTGCAATAGTATTTCAATAGTTGGTCGCAATAGACTATTGCCATTGCAATAATATGTTGCAATAGACTTTTGCTAGCGCAATAGTTGTTTCCCCCCCAATAGTCACCCCTAATATTTAATGTATATCATCTACTGTATTGTATGATAAAGTTCGTCCCATTGTGTCCTGTTGTCATGTAAGCCCCGCCCAGCTCTCCTGATGTGTCTGAATGCTGTTTCAGATCTCAAGCTTCACCTTCAAAGCACAGATTATGGCAACTTCCTAGCCAACGAGCCCAGCCCCCTCACAGTCTCTGTCATTGATGACAGACTCCGAGAGAAACTTGTCATCGAGTTCCAGCATCTGAGGAACCACTGTCTGGAGCCACTGGCCACCTTCCTCGACTACATCACGTGAGTCATATGGCATGGCTTCTCTGTGATCAGCCTTGGGTCACAATGAAAGTAAAAGGGTCCTGGATTACTCCCTGTGTTACAAGTTACACCGTTATCATGAATCATGCAGATAAGAATACACTAGCAAACTTCAAGTACCCCTGAGCAGTGTACCACTTGTCCGTTTGTCCAACGCTTGAGTCTAGTAAATTTTATTGGGTTTTCAATCATGTGTTTATTGAGCATGTTATTATGTCCTTGGTACATATGTCATATTTTTAATACAGGATGGTTAGGACTTAACTTAATTGTATACAAGCCAGTAATGTTGCTGCAATACTGATGATTACAAGTTATTGTTGTGCTCTTAACAGTTGAATAGTTTTTAACCCCCTTTGCAGGCTGCCATGTTACAGCAACAGCATAAAATGATTATCTAACATGCCATGATGAACTGGATATGCATTTTAAAAATTGTTACTAAGTAAAGCTAAATCTTACCAATTCTTCATACACATTAGAACATTTTCACAATATTGATTTCCCCACTGTCTACAGGTACAGCTACATGATCGACAACATCATCCTTCTCATCACTGGCACACTTCATCAACGACCAATCAACGAGCTCATTCCCAAGTGTCATCCCTTGGGAAGCTTTGAGCAGATGGAGGCAATCCACATCGCTTCCACCCCTGCAGAACTGTACAATGCTGTACTAGTTGACACTCCTCTAGGTACGTAGTCTCTAGCTGGACACCCATCTAGGTATTTGGTTTCTAGTGGACACCCCACTAGTGGACACTCTCTAGTTCATTATGTCTAATGGACACCCTCAAGGCATTTAGTGTCTGGTGGATACCTCTCTATGCACATAGTGTCAAGTGGATCCCCCTGTAGGTATGTCATCTCTAGTGGACACCCCACTAGTGGACACTCTCTAGTTCATTATGTCTAATGGACACCCTCAAGGCATTTAGTGTCTGGTGGATACCTCTCTATGCACATAGTGTCAAGTGGATCCCCCTGTAGGTATGTCATCTCTCTAGTGGACACTCTCTAGTTCATTATGTCTAATGGACACCCTCAAGGCATTTAGTGTCTGGTGGATACCTCTCTATGCACATAGTGTCAAGTGGATCCCCCTGTAGGTATGTCATCTCTAGTGGACACCCCACTAGTGGACACTCTCTAGTTCATTATGTCTAATGGACACCCTCAAGGCATTTAGTGTCTGATGGATGCCTCTCCATGCACATAGTGTCAAGTGGATACCCCTGTAGGTATGTCATCCCTCTAGTGGACACCCCACTAGTGGACACTCTCTAGTTCATTATGTCTAATGGACACCCTCAAGGCATTTAGTGTCTGGTGGATACCTCTCTATGCACATAGTGTCAAGTGGATACCCCTGTAGGTATGTCATCTCTAGTGTACACCTTGGGATATGGAATCCATTGTAGTCACCCCTGAGGTATTTACTCTCTAGCGAACACCTCACTGGGTATGTAGGTGTGCAGTCAAGAGAACTGTACAATGTGGTTCCAGTGAACACCCTTAACGAATTTAGTCTCTAATGGACACCCCTCCTGTGTATTTAGTTACTAGTGGACACCTTGGTTAAGTCTCTCAGTGATTCATGCATGTAGAAGATCTGATCATCAATGCAGACCTTTGTGGTAGTTATTCTCATGAGAATAGGTGAACATATTTGAGGTAAAGAATGATCATTTTTCGAAAAAAGTTAACAAATTTTACCAATTCAGTCCAAGTTGTCACATCTTTCAGACTGCTTGTGACCAGTGACTTGTGATGGGTCTTGGTCAGTGATGCACCTGTGTAGCTGTAAGGTCCTGCTGTGTCACCACAGTAGATACTTGCTACGATCATGTTTGTGATTATACAGCCGCTCTTTACCAGAATGTAATGTTGATGATTTCAGCACCATACTTCATGGATTGTATATCAGAGCAGGATCTGGATGAGATGAACATTGAGATCATCAGGAACACACTGTACAAGGTAAGGGATAGGCATTCTTGCAATGACAGCAGGACTGTCACTTGTAATGACACAGCAGGGGTGCTATATGGAGTCGTTTACAACAGGACCACAATTAATTTCAGTAAGACCACAATGTACACTCTGAATGTTACAACAGTACCACAATATCTGCACTAAATGTTAAGCAAAACCTGTATGTATAATATTGTGATTTTCTAGCAGGATCTCTGTGTATAATATGACTAATTGTCGTTACAGGCATACCTGGAAGACTTCTATGGGTTCTGCAAGCAGATGGGAGGTGCCACATCAGAGGTCATGTGTGAAGCACTTGCTGTGAGTTACACTTACAGGATTATTCTAGAGATTTCTGTGCTATGCATGACAGTTATTCATCGTTATATTCAGTTACAATGAAATCTGGTCATAAAGAAGATTATCTTTAAGAAAAAGGGTGACGAATGACAAATCTGCTGGAGACATGTCAACCATGTTTCAGCATCTGTGGTGATATGTAGGAATGTATAATCGTACTGCATGTACTTTTGCACATGTCTGTCTTTTCCACGCTGGAATACTTCTAGTCATTGATGGTTTAGATATCATCTTGTGAACTACTATACCATTCAATTACTTTCCAAATTGTCTTCTTGGTGTCCATCTGACTAAGCCATATCTGTTTCTTCAGTTTGAGGCAGATCGTCGAGCCTTTATCATCACCATCAACTCATTCGGCACAGAGTTGAGTAAGGAGGATCGGTTCAAGCTGTACCCCCGTTGTGGACACCTGTACCCTGACGGCCTCGCTATGCTTGGGGAGTGCGAGGACTACGATCAAGTGCGGCAGGTCGCAGACTTCTATGCTGTGAGTTGATCTGTCTTCTGTCTACACCTGTCAAGGTGTCATTTGATTTTAAATGATTGATATGGAGCGACCTTATAATTTGCCAACCCAAAACCATGAAAATGTATGTTTTAGTTTAGTGAATGCGTTATTTAAGTTGTAAACTGTCTACAAGCCACTGATATGTCTGTTTATGCTTATAGAATTACAAGGAGCTGTTCGATGGAGCCGGCACCAACCCTGGTGACAAGACACTGGAAGACAAGTTCTTTGAGCATGAGGTGAGAGCTGCATTGAAGAAACTATTTATGGTATTGCTGTGAGTGTGTGTTGTGTGTGAATTACCAAGACTTTCTGTTTGGGTGAATTATTCTGTTCTGTTTGTCGAATTATTGTTAGTATATTTGGGTGAATTAGTGAGATCACATGTTAAGGCGATTGACCGACACTCTGTTTGTTTCAGGTGAAGCTGATGACCCAGTCATTTATGCACCAGTTCCAATTCGGTGTCTTCTACTCCTACGTCAAGCTGAAGGAACAGGAATGTCGCAACATCATCTGGATCGCAGAGTGTGTTGCCCAACGCCACCGAGCCAAGATAGACTCCTACATCCCCATATTCTAGTGCTACTGATAGAGCCCAACAAAGATATTGACCGTACCAAACTGCTCCCCATTATATTTGTGATAGGGAATTCTAGAATCTTTTTAAGATTCCAAGCATCATAATATGCTTGTAATATATCACAAAAAATATTTGAGCCTTGATTGTTTAAATTCTTTTTAGCTCAGATATGACATATTCTTTTCATAATCATCAACATTCCAAAAAAACAAAATGAACAAAACCTAATTTAGGGACATGATAAAAGTAGAAATACTACCCCTATCTTGGTGACAGTAGATTCAATTGTTACCTTGAAGTTGTCAGTTGGGTTGATGGTAAATGTGAAACACTCTCTGTGCATAATGTAGAGGAGACAGGTGCCCTTCTAGGTGTACCAGGAATCCTATTCACTGTGTTTCAAGACTCGTGGTTCACCGGAAACCTGCATGTGATATTTGTGATGTGTAGCGGGTGTTAGTGTTGCCACATCAGGATCTGTACCCGCCCTGGTGTGAAAGTGGTACAAGCTATTATAGAATGTTGACAGATAGTTGAGGGATTATTGTTAAAGGGTATCAGTCGTTGCAAGAATCTGTAGTGTACATACATGTGTTATTCCCATAAGCTTTGTAACTGTATTCAGCTGCAGCAGTCAGCTCTTTGCATGTCATTCACTGATGACTGTATGCTCTTCATGTTCTCCTTGTAATGTATTCATCAGCCAATGTCTGAGACATTGTAGGTTTTAACGTGAAACATTGTGGCACACAATACGTGGTCAAATACTGTTTACCAGTATGATGATCCACTTTGCCAACCAAACATTGAAAGATACGGTGAAAGCACCAGTTTTGTAAAGGACAAATCATTAAACTCTCAAGAAGTAACATCAGTAAGGCAAAAAAGGGGCATGTTGATTCTACTCTTGAAATAAACATGTTTAACTTTAAGTAATTTGTCTGACTTGCATCATTTAGTGGTTGAGGTATGATTTCTGTAAAATGTTGCATAAAGACCTGCCAGTTTTGTTTAAACTTTGATGAGAACAAGTAAATTCCTGGTTTAGATTCAACTGCATTAACAATAAACAAAAGTGTGACAAAATTGTAATGGATTAATTACAGTTAGAAGTCTGGATCTGTTTCTCTGGTCTTATGTGTCCTATTGGTCTTTATGGGATGTATAAGTCTTGATTTGATTATCAGGGCCAGATGTATTTGAATTCCTTGTTAAAATTCTAGTCACTGTCCATGACAAGTGGTGTCCATGCTTGGAGTCAGTCTCTGAGCTTTCTTTAGATTATAGCCAGGAATGATCAAACCATCCCACCAGTATATCAGACGTAGGACATGTTTTCTGCATCATTAATCACTTTGAAGGCTGTGAACTCGTGCATCTTGTGACATTAATGTTCATCTGATGTAGATCATACATTATGGGACTTGTACATTTGATTACACGTCAGCTGTTTCTGTATATATTGTGCTTGTTGTCGCGTACAGTGATTTAGTAGATGATTATGAAATGTTAATGATTTATGCCATTTGTAGACATGGTAGAGTCCAAAACAAGAGATTCTTCCTTTTGATGCCATTTCTCTAACCTAGCTGGGAAACAAGGGAGTGCGGTGGGTGATTCCCCTCAGACTTCTTCATCTTTGCATATCGGTAATTGTGTTTCTCCTTGTCAATAGCATGATTAGTCAATATGGGAAAGGAACCGAGATAAAACTGAAATGTCAACGCAATCCTCTTATTTAATCCTTTTAATGCACCAGGTGTATGTAGTACACTTGGTGTACAGTTGTACTGGTGATGTCAGTGTATACAAGATCTGTTTTAGCTAATATCTGTAACCAGGAAACACATGCAATAAACACTCCACACTGGGAACATCGAGTTGTTGTTGTTGAGACAGAAGCCGTAACAACCTGATCCACATGGAGATCCTCATTTGCTTAACTGAAAGAACTACCATGCACAAGCAGCATGGGGATTCTTTACAATAATCCTAAAATCAGACCATTTACTGACGCATGATGCCACTATAAACGTGTGATCAGACATCTCCAAAGAAGCTTGTGTCAGGTGAACCCTGAAAGAAAAGGACCCAGTCTAATGAAGGATGCTTAGGTTCTTGACACAATTATTAGCTTTCCTTTAACAAACAATATGAAGATTAATGTCTTTACCACCTCAATATGTAAATATGCAGGGCTCGATTTAAAAGATGTTACCTTCTTGCACCAGGTGCAACCGAAGATAAAAACCTAGTTGCACCAGCCAAATTCCATTTGCTCTGCTTTTATTATCCTCCGCCACGCGTTTAGCGCGAAGCGCGGGATATTGTATTAGGCTCTGTCCGTCCGTGACGTGTTTACAAATTAGAATGCTATCGATTCTGGTACTAGGATTCGGTTTCAAGTTCTCGTGACATACCTTGGTACCTTTAGGTTCATATTCAACAGCTTTATCTAAGAAGTCGATTATGGTGACCTTTACTCAGGTCATGTGACACTTTGAAGATTTCAGTATGTTAACCTGCATGTTACCTTGACCTTCACTTTCAAGGTCACCAAGGGGAAGGCGCAGGGCCCAGTCTACTTTAGGTCACACGATTTCTCAAGAACCTGCATGTTAACTAGATTTTTTTCTTCATATTCAACACCAAACTTTATCTAGGGAAGGCGCAGGGCCCAGTCTATTTTAGTGATCTTCACTTAATTTTCTAGGTCAAGTAACAAAGCACTAAATCGAGCCCCAATAGTATTACCCGGTACCATCAACCAGATGAGCATCTCTCCATGCTGTCCAGGTACGGTGACCTGCTATCAACTAAGTAACCAAGTCTCTGTTCTTGTAAATTCCAAAACAAAATTAAAGGTGTTATCAGTGTATTTCTTTATTTATCAATGTATTTAAACATATCAAAAGTGGTACAAAGAACATGAAGAAACAGGTCATCACACTGGCACTGGCTTCCAACATCAATGATCTATTACTCCACTTTGCTACCACAGCTTTGCTTGGGAAGTGACTATCATCTCTCCCATTCATGAATTCAAAGAGAATTCTTCTCACAACTGTAATTTGATGAAGGACATTTTTGTTGCTTTGTCGCATAAACAAGACTAACAATGAAGCTGTGGTAGTGACGTGGCCCAGGGTACTTAATTTATTCTCTCCCCCAAAAATGTAGGGGAACCGGAATTTTCAATTTGGATAGGGAGTAAGAAACGTTAACAAACCTTTAAAGGATTGACATCTTATGAACGCAACACCAATTCTCTTTATCATCACACCTAAACACAATGCATGGGATGCATGGGCATGACGCAGTAGCCCCATACACGTGGATAGGTTGTCATTCTTTATTTTGACAGTTTTCAAGGTCGATAAATCACTGTAAACCATTAATTTTGACAATCCTCATGCATCACACAGTTGTTAGTGTTTGTTTCTAGATCTTTTTTAAAAATTGAAAATGAACATTGTACACATGCAAATTTCCAATCATCTCTCAAGAGCAATTACTGAACAAACAACTATGGTCATAAGGAAGTGCAAGTGATGCACTCCCAAAACATTCATTATTATCATATCAACATTGATTGACTCGGATATATGTCCCAATTTTTTCAATCGTAAAAAAGACATGAAGTTCCCCTACCTTTTTTTAACAGTATAGAAGATGTATCAACTGCATGGTACATGGTTATACTTTGGATTAGAATATATAGATAACTATTCAGAAAAAACATAATTATGCACATACATCCTTTTCATGATTCTTTGTTAGGATGAATAGTCATGGATATGAGAAGGCGTACCATAAATGTGCCAATGTATAGAACTTTGTGTGTAAATGTATCACAGACTATAAAATTGTACATCAATGAAAAAGTCATATACAAAAACACTCATTTTGCATCTGTCGCAGTGAAGTTCAAGGTCTTACAAAAGGTGAAGGTTGGTGGCATACATACATACTTTTGGGATAGGAACAGCACAAATCAAGGACACAATGTGAAGGTCAATTACAAACGAATATGGTTGTATAGGATCTGTAAAGTTCAAGGACTTACAAAAGGTGAAGGTTGGTGGCATACATACATACTTTTGGGATAGGAACAGCACAAATCAAGGACACAATGTGAAGTCATTTACAAACGAATATGGTTCTATAGGATCTGTAAAGTTCAAGGACTTACAAAAGGTGAAGGTCGGTGGCACACATATAAACGTTTGGGATAAAACAGCACAAATCACCATTAAATCTCCCACTTCAGGCAGAACTTATGTATGCCCTTTTGAATAACATATGGTTAAAGGCCTGTCCCAGCATGGGTAACTGGGCAGATAAGGGGAGGTTTAAGCAGAAAGAGGAGCCTAAAATCATAGGCGGTGTCTCAGATGAGGTGCTTATGTACCAATGTCTTTTCTGCATCAAAAGAAAAAGGAAGGTGCCATTGTGTCAGTTTAGTTTTATGCCGCAAATATTCCAGCTTTATGGCAACGGTCTATAAATGATCGAGACTGGACCAGACAATCCAGTGATCAACAGCATGAGCATCGATCTACGCAATTGGGAACCGATAACATGTGTCAACCAAGTCAGCGAGCCTGACCACCAGATCCCGTTAGACGCCTCTAACGACAAGCATGTGTTACTGAAGATGAATATTCTAACCCGGATCTTCACGGGTAAGGTGCCACTGAACTAAAAAATAACAGCATACATAAAATATTAAAAATTCAACAATGTCCACTCACAGCCTACACTATGTACATCTGGGAAAGGTATTCACTTTATGCAATCTCCAATAGAGGTGTCTTCTGGGTAAATGTGTTCATTTTGATTCATTTGTATAGACTTGCAAGCATCAATGGCAACACTGCTCAGAGACTGAGATCATCCTTACTATATATACAATTTTCAACACTCAGTGTAACAACAGGGCTTCACACAATCCAAAGCTCTTATACAAACATACAGTCAACCCCATTATCTTTAAGCTACCAATACTTTGATACCAGTTTCGGTCTTGACCTCAAGAATCTTTGTGTATGCTTATTATCATAGGAGGCATGTTGCTATCAGCTGTTTGGGACGTGACAACTGACTTGGTGTATAAAGAGAGTGGACGGTGTGTTCTGGGTGGATCAACGTTGTGAAACCTGCACAAGTAATAGACTTCCTTCAACATCCTCAACTTGCCAACTATATACAAATGATAAGTATAATCTCTTTAGGTATATAAAATACTGAACAACTTCAATGAGTGATCAAAACATGCACTTTATGCATCCCAACCACCAATATATACTGCCATACGACGGTATAAAATGCCATAACAGTTGTCTTAACAACAGCACAGTACTGGCAAGACTACAACAGCATAATACTGCTCTGTGTACTTGCCAGGCTATACCACCACAATACAGCAGCTGTGTACTAGCCAGGCTATAAAACCACAACACTGCTGTGTACTAGCCAGGCCATAACACCACAACACTGCTGTGTACTAGCCAGGCTATAACACCACAACACTGCTGTGTACTAGCCAGGCTATAACACCACAACACTGCTGTGTACTAGCCAGGCTATAACACCACAACACTGCTGTGTACTAGCCAGGCTATAACACCACAACACTGCTGTGTACTAGCCAGGCTATAACACCACAACACTGCCACACCACAACTTGCTGCTGTGTACTAGCCAGGCCATAACACCACAACACTGCTGTGTACTAGCCAGGCTATAAAACCACAACAACACTGCTGTGTACTAGCCAGGCTTTAACACCACAACACTGCTGTGTACTAGCCAGGCTATAAAACAGGCTGCTGTAACACCACAATACTGCTGTGTACTAGCCAGGCTATAACACCACAACACCAGGCTATAACACCACAACACCGCTGTGTACTAGCCAGGCTATAACACCACAACACTGCTGTGTACTAGCCAGGCTATAACACCATAACACTGCCGTGTACTGCCAGGCTATACAACCACAACACATGTGTACTGCAACACCCAGGCTATAACACCACAACACTGCTGTGTACTAACCAGGCTATAACACCACAACACTGCTGTGTACCTCAGCCAGGTTATAACACCACAACACTGCTGTGTGTACCAGCCAGGCTATAACACCATAATACTGCTGTGTACTAGCCGGGTAGCCAGGCTATAACACCACAACAACAAAAATTGCCGCTAGCCAGGCTATAACACCACAATGCTGCTGCTGTGTACTAACCAGGCTATAACACCATAACACTGCTGTGTACCAGCCAGGCTATAACACCACAACACTGCTGTGTACTAACCAGGCTATAACACCACAACACTGCTGCACTGTTGCCACATTGCTGCTAGGCCATAACACCACAATACTGCTGCGCATCAGCCAGGCTATAACACCACACACACTGCTGTGTACTAGCCAGGCTATAACACCACAATACTGCTGTGTACTATCCAGGCTATAACACCATAACACTGCTGTGTACCAGCCAGGCTATAACACCATAACACTGCTGTGTACTAGCCAGGCTATAACAACATAACACTGTTGTGTACTATATAGGCTATAACACCACAATACTGCTGTGTACTAGCCAGGCTATAACACCACAACACTGCTGTGTACTAGCCAGGCTATAACACCACACACACTGCTGTGTACTAGCCAGGCTATAACACCACAACACTGCTGTGTACTAGCCAGGCTATAACATCACAATACTGCTGTGTACTTGCCAGGCTATAACACCACAATAATGCTGTGTACTAGCCAGGCTTTTACACCACAATACTGCTGTGTACTAGCCAGGCTATAACACCACAACACTGCTGTGTACTAGCCAGGCTATAACACCACAACACTGCTATGTACTAGCCAGGCTGTAACACCATAACACTGTTGTGTACTATATAGGCTATAACACCACAATACTGCTGTGTACTAGCCAGGCTATAACACCACAACACTGCTGTGTACTAGCCAGGCTGTAACACCACAACACTGCTATGTACTAGCCAGGCTGTAACACCACAATACTGCTGTGTACCAGCCAGGCTTTAACACCACAACACTGCTGTGTACCAGCCAGGCTATAACAACAGCACAATTTGAAAGTCTCAGCAAAGCCCCTTAACAAAGTGACCATGTGTCTTATGATTCTTTCTTCAAGGGACCTCATCCGTGGTGTAGTGGTTAGAGCGTCCGCCCAGAGAGCGGAAGGTCGCGGGTTCGATGCCCGACTGTGTCATACCAAAAGACGTTAAAATATGGTACTTGTTGGTCCCTGCCTGGCTCTCGGCATTAATGGGTACAACAAGGACTGGTCGGCTCGGAGTCAGTATAATGTGTCTGAGTGGGGTATTCATGCTTCACTGCGGCGTGGTATCTCAGTGGGCTAGCACTCTCAACCAGCTTCAGTCTGGGCTAGTACAAGCAGCCGCACATACACATACACACGCATGCACGTCGTCATATGAGCGAAATATTCTCAAGCACGATGTTAAACCCAATTTTCACCTCACCTCACCTTTCTTCAAGGGAGATAAGCAGGCCAGATGAGTGATGAAGCTGTGACATGTATCATGCTCATTTTTTACACATCATCATAACTTGTGTTATATAGACAATGACTAATGATCAAATTGGTCTGCACATTTAGAACATACAAATTGAGCCTTTAGGAAAACAGGAATATTACATCTAAATACAAAATAGTAAATTTAATATTGTAGGTGAGCTACCAAACACCACTTGGTACAAAGCATCAGAATTCCAATAGCTACAGAGATGGGGAAAAAAAAAAGAAATATATATGTACAATATAAATCTTTAGCACAAATGTGGTTGAGCCAAATAGCAGACCTTAAAGGTGAGCAATAAACACTCAAATGAATACACATATATAGAGACAGACAGACACACACACACAGACACATACATACATTAGGGTTCAAAAGTTTGATGTAGGATCAAATACATATTTCCTGAAGTTTAAAAGCATATGCCTAACCCCTCCTGAGCAAACCATTCTGAAAATGTTCAATTCCTGAGTACATTGGCCTCTTTTTGTCATGCATTCTTGAGTTTTGCTTTTTCAGAAAGAGGGGCGGTGGAGTAGCCTAATGGCTAAAGCGTTGGCTTGTCACCCCGAAGACCCGGGTTCGAATCCCCACATGGGCACAATGTGTGAAGCCCATTTCTAGTGTCCCCCGCCGTGATGTTGCTGGAATATTGCTAAAAGCGGCGTAAAACCAAACTCAGTCAGTCAGTTTTCAGAAAGTTCATCAACTGAAGTTAATAGGTGTTGATAATCATTTGAAGGGATCTTTTTGGATCAAATCAAATCAGTTGAGTTTGTCTGAGGGATCAACACTAAACGTAAAAAATATCAAGATTTTCCTCCAGCAAAAACTCCTGAAATAGTCAGTGACCAAAGCACTCATGTCACTGACATGAATATATAACAGTTTGTAGTCTTTTTATATTCATGTACTGAAGAGTCAACACTACAGTTAGGCACGTGAAAGCATGTTAGATGCTACAATAATATACACAGAGGTCCTGAGTGATGGTTGCAATGTTACAAAGGACTCCTCACTAAAACTATCAGACATGTGTCCCTTTTATGATATCATTAATCACTGTCTCTTCATAGGTGGGTGGTGCCACATCTGGATGCCTTGCCTCCTCTTCATACATGCTAGGTGCGGACGGAAAGACAAAGTCAGTTCTCGAAGCATTGCCAGAATTTCGAGAACCATTTCGAGTTGTCGATTGAGATTGATTATCACTGTCTTGTAGCCTAGTTGTTACTGAGGAAGGTTGTTCCTGGCGTTTCTTTGCAAAACATTTCATATATATGACAACTGCTGCGATGATTGCTGCAATGACCACCAAACTGCCCAGTACACCAGCCAGGATGATAGAGAGGCTGGACTGTTCTCCTGAAGACAGAGAGTCATAGGAGTAAGGAATTGTTCAATGATTTTGTTTGTTGTGTAACACCGCAGTCAGTCATATCAGGATTTATACAGAATGCAGTAACAAAATTCAGAACAACATTTCAGTCAACTTTAGCATCCTAAGGGAGTTAACAGCATTATTACCATAGATCATGTTTAAAGCCATTGCAAGGCATTATCTAAATTACAGGGATGGCAACAGGAAAATCTATTTTCAGCTGAAAACTTAATATTCTGTCATCAAAATATCAGACAATCCACAGAATTGATCAATTTGAAATAAAATCAGTGGAAATCCGTGGATCAAAAAAACAAATGGCATCCCTGAAATTAAAACACTTTTCCAGATGTGGTGGTATAGCCTAGTGGTTAAAGCTTACACTTCACACCCAGGTTCGATTCCCTACATGAGTACATTGTGCAGAGCCCATTTCTCATGTCCTTTGTCATGAAACTGTTGGAATATTTCTAAAACCATACTCACTCAATCATTCAAGACCTTATCAAGCCTGGGCAAAACCCTGCACATTACATCAGCCTATCTTTACAAGAGTCAGACAAACCATTGGTTGATAAGTATCACATGGAATGTCAACAATTCACTGCCAATAAATCATTGTCTTTACTGTGAAAAGACCAAACAGTCACCTGTGATACAATGGTGGATCAATGTTATAGACTGAATATTGTACAATATAGCTAAAATGGATAGAATTACCATTAAAACGCCCACACGTTATCAGAAATAAGCGGGCCACTGTAACTTGATAATGCCCCCAAATTGCATGACGACGGGCCATTATCATACCCGCTGTTAGGTGATGTCATAAGGAGCTCAGCTCTTGATGGTCAATCACCTACGGTTCGTTTGAACTTGGGCTCAAGATTGACGCTATTTCTGACTCACATACATCACATGTACCTGTAGCATTATGAACTTTCTTGCCGGTGTAACCTTAACAATTGTACCATAAATTACAACATGCAGCAATGAAAACATCGACTGGAACTCTAACGTTGTTGAGCATTGAAAAACATGGCAGCTGGTAGTATGGGCAAAGGTCTAGTGTTGGGAACTGGTTAAAATCTCATAATTGGTGATTGGTCCATTATAACCGATCAGTCATTGAAAATAATTGGTTAGCGTCATTTATAAAAATTTCCTGTTATGTTAAAACTTAAAAATTAAAGAAGAAAACATGTAGTTCTTGGGTTGTTTTTTTGGCAAACTGCAAAAAATGCATTTGAAATTTCACATCTTTAAAGGATGACCAGTATGTTAGGAACATAGGAACTCGTCATGACTTGTAACGAGCTTGTAGTGCTTATGAAATGTAAATTTAATGACACTGACAAAACCTAGCTTGTGAAAAATATTGTTTATGCCAACAAAATTGTTTGTGTTCGATTATGAGAAAATATGATCGATTGCTTGGTCGCTTAGTCACTGCGACCAATCTTCGATTATTTCAATTAATCGGACCGCCACTGCAAAGGTCAGGGTCGAATGTCGTCACACTCAATAGTGACGCCATCTGTTTTGTTCTATGACGTTTCCATATTTGTAAAAAGTGGGACAGTGACCTCCATCATTTGTTGTTAGCAGAAAAAATGCTTCAAAACCAATACCTTTGTTTGTATTTATTTTAATTAAAATTCTATCCATTTTAGCTATAATAACGGTAACGATATTTTTCAGGGCATTATCCTTTGCAAAAGCCCTTGGTCTTTTCAACTGTCCTCCTTCATCGCGAAGTTAAGGACATACCTTGGGCTTCTGCAAATGATAATGCCCTGAAAAATATCGTTTCCCTTATAATAACTCACCAGCTTCCTCTTTGTGCTCCGGAACTGGATAGATTGTGGTGCTTCCTTCTGCAATTATGATAAAAACTATCAATATGTTGACATCATCATCTTTATATTGATAGTGACATGGAAACAAAAATTACATGATTGTTCCAATTACAGTCGAACCCCGTTTATCCAGACTTTTTGTTTACACTAAGAAATCGTCCTGATAGCGAGAGACGTCCGGTTAACTGGATCAAACAAGACAAGTAGTTATATAAGTACAATGTGTTTTCGATACTGATGAGATGTTCTCCCACCTGCCACAACTGTGGCACGTGTAAATAGTGTTTTGATGGGTTAGTAATCAATTCACATCAATTGCCGGCCAAGAGATTAACACAGGTCACTAGTGTTTCGATGGGTAAGTAATCAATTCACATCAAATGACTGCCAAGAGATAACAATGAATACACTTAGTTGTGCGGTAAACAATACTGACGTGAAACATGCACATTCACATACGCACAGATCTTTCCTTCCGGATAACTGGATAATTTTTCAATGGAAATCTATGGGAATGGTTTGAAAATTCTCCGTCTGGGTCCAGAAGCACGGACAATTATTGAAGGCAAGTTTCGTTTCACCTAAAAAGCGTCCAGAAGACGGGGTTTCTGGATATACAGGGTCCGAGTAAATGGGGTTTGACTGTACGTGACGCATAACTTTACTTCATTAGACATGTACAGTGCAGATTTCATCACTTTATTCTGGTTTATTCTTTACTTTATTGAAATCACAGACTAACATACACTGTCAAACTGTGTGTTAGTGAACATTATACAGTGTTAACTGTGAGTCTGTGGAAATAGACAGTGTTATACTGTGAGTCTGTGGAAAAAGACAGTGTTATACTGTGAGTCAGAGGTCAGACAATGTTAGACAGATCTGTCCTAGTGGAGGTTAGGTGTTATGACTGCCAGTTGTGATTATGTACAATATTACAATCTGAGTGAACAGGTTCAACAGTGTTATACTGTGAGTCTGTGGAAATAGACAGTGTTATACTGTGAGTCTGTGGCAGTCAGACAGTGTTATACTGTGAGTTTGTGGAGGTTAGATAGTGTTATACTGTGTGTCAGTGGAGGTTAGACGGTGTTATACTGTGAGTCAGTGGAGGTCAGACGGTGTTTTACTGTAAGTTTGTGGAGGTTAGACAGTGTTTTACTGTGAGTTAGTGGAGGTCAGACAGTGTTATACTTTGAGTCAGTGGAGGTCAGACAGTGTTATACTGTGAGTCAGTGGAGGTCAGACAGTGTTATACTGTAAGTTTGTAGAAGTTAGACAGTGTTATACTGTGAGTCAGAGAGGTCAGACAATGTTAGACAGATCTGTCCTAGTGGAGGTTAGGTGTTATGACTGCCAGTTGTGATTATGTACAATATTACAATCTGAGTGAACAGGTTCAACTTACGTTTGTTGGTCTGGCACACAAAATTTGCTATGATACGAGAGCAGTCAGCAGTTTGCCACTCCCCACGTACACTATTCATCAAAACACAATCTTCATTACTCTGAAAGTCATGTGTTGCAAAACTGAAAGAATGAATTAGACATTTAACTTCACTCAAAAGCCAATCTTGCATGTCCTAAAGTTTGTAATCGAAACAATTGCCAAATCTTAGAAATAGAAGAGGGCTGGAATTAAACGAAGGGTAGACCCAAACTGGAAATGTTAGAGATCTCACACTTCCATGAAGCCACTCATGCAAGTCCACAATTATTTCAAAAAGAGTTAAATTGTTGACAAGGACCTGTGGTATCTCAATTTAAAACCTTTACCATGTTTTCTGATTTTCAGGAAAAGCTACTGAACATGACAAAGTTCAGGTACAACTAGCTCTGCCACTTTCATGGTTATGTTGTAGATGTAGTGGAGAGGTACACAGTTTTACTTACAAGTCTAGCTTCTGCTCTGACAAATCAATCCATTCCATTTTAGACTCTGATGCTACCTTGCTCAGACCAATCCATGCCCTGTCGGTCAGCAGATCTGTAACATTCACACCAACTCATAGTGGATTGTCTTTGGGTTACTGACTAGCATTTGGACTTTAAACAAATTGGAGTGAATGATAGTGTTGTCTAAAAGTGGTCAACAGACAGCTGCATAACATAATCTGCTGTCAGCACTGATGTTCATTTATTTATTGTATAAATACTGAGGACTAAAACCTTTACTGAAAACTGTGATAAGGACAAAATGGGAAACATACATACAAATGTTCAGCTCTAGCAATTTCAAATTTGCATTTTGGGAAAATTACAAAGCTTGGTCAAACAATGGCAGAATCATACTTTTTTTTTAAATAGCAGACCATTTGTATTATATGCAACAACAAAAACAACACATCCACCAAACAATATGTACCACTGGAACAAAATTACTGTAATGATCATGAAGTTTAGGCTCTCATTCTTGTCATGGTAGGGAAGTAAAATATACAATATCACAAATAACATGGACCAACCAGTGATGTGACAAAGTCACCATGGAAGTTTCAGTTCCACTGGTCCAGTTGTTTCTGAGGAGATGTTCTGTTGATGACTTTCAATTATTTTTGTAGTTTCCTTTAAGACTGCTTTTAACAATCTTGATACTATACTAGGCACATAAAGAAACTGTGCATACAAAAATTTAAAATCTAAATTTATCAAACCTGTGGAGACACATAAGGATTTAAACGCAGAGATTAGTGACATGTATCCAACATGCATGCATGTGCCACGTTCCGTGACGTCAGTGGGTTCATCCTTGAGACGTGCAATACGTTGTTGCACATGCATTCCGGGAAAGAGAAACAGAGCAAATGAATGCCACACAATACTGTCACTTTGGAAAGCTCAACCCCTGCCCTTGCGATCGTTCAAAAAATTAAACGGCTATTCAAACGCATAGTCTGCACAACGTCATGAGGCCATTGGGATGGTCCGTGGGGGAATGTCTCAACGACAAGTGGCTGGATATTTCCACTGCCACCGGAACACCATTTCTGCACTGGTGAGACGCTACCAGAACACAAATGACGTCATCGATCGTCCAGGTTCTGGACGTCCACGTGTAACAACGCCAAGACAGGACAGATGGATAAGGGTGACCCATCTTTGCCACAGGTTTCAGACTGCAGTGATGACTGCCTGAACCCTCCCAGGACTTCGCCGTATCCACCCCAACACAGTTCAACAACGCTAACATCATCACAGGATCAGACCACGACGTCCCGCCATACGGCCTATCCTGACACAACGTCATCGACAAGCTCGCCGAATGTGGTGCCGAAATCATGTTTGCAGACCCTTGTTTTGGTGGAGAAATGTTGTTTTTACAGATGAGTCCAGGTTTAACATTTCCCATGGTGATGGATTCACATTCCAACAGGACAATGCCCGCCCTCATACGGCAAGGGTTGCTATGGATTTCTTGCAACACCACAACATTGACTTACTGCCTTGGCCTGCAAGTTCACTGGATCTCTCCTCGATAGAGCATGTTTGGGACAAGATGGATCGACGTCTACCGCCGTCTTCCTCATCCGCCAGATAACGTCCTTGACCGTGCAACAGAACTTGAGAGAATCTGGCGTGACATCCCACAAGCCTTCCTTGCACGTTTGATAGGCTCTATGCGTCGTCGATGCACTGCTGTTCTCAATACCGATGGTGGACATACCCGTTATTGAGCTTGTCATTTGACCCCTGTCCCGCTTGTGGACTCGTGACGTCATTGTGATTGACTTTTCAATTGAAATTCTCCCGACTTGTTATGGTCTCATGATCCCTCCATTACAGTTTATATGTACCTTTGACATTGTTATCGTACTTATCAACTGGGGGCGGTGGGGTAGCCTAGTGGTTAAAGCGTTGGCTCGTCACGCCGAAGACCCGGGTTCAATTCCCCACATGGGCACAATGTGTTAAGCCCATTTCTGGTGTCCCCCGCCGTGATATTGCTGGAATATTGCTAAAAGCGGCGTAAAACTAAACTCAGTCAGTCAGTCAGACTTATCAACTGGGATAATATTTTGACAATGCACAGTTTCTTTATGTAGCTAGTATACATACATGAGGTGATCATCTCACCATCTTGTTTCAGGCCTCTGGTCTTAAGTTGTGGAAAAGAATATGGCTACCTGGTGGCTATATTGAAATTAAAATATTTATCCCTGGATCAAACTTGAACCCCTCTTAAAGTAACAATCATCCACACCACATTTATAGCCTTACTGCTTTTATGTGGAGATGAGATACATACACTTGACATAGTCTTGTTGTATCTGAGTTTGTATGACAGCAAGGTTAGCTTGGTTGTAGTTACAGAACATCTGTGCTTTGCTCCAGGTCTCAGCATGGGTCATCAGTTTGTAACACAACGAATGTGTAGGTGATGGAGAAGACCATCCCGGCCCACATGATCCTTGATCTACACATAACAGTGAACAGTAAGGCACCACAGTCCATCAATATTATGAAATAGTATATTTTTCTTAGAATATTATTTTACCATCAAATATACATTAAAAGAATTGGGAACAAATTACTGACGTCATATCAAGCAGTTCTCTTATATCTTCAAAAAGAATAAATCAACATTTACCAAACACCTGAAACTCGAGGTGAACCCCTGTATACTTGTATGGATTATTGCCATTAGACTGGAATGTTAAGGACATGTACTGCCCTGTGCTGGTCACACTGTAGGGGTTGCGTGCCCCACACCATAGGACGATAGTCGGGGAAGTCTCATCCATTCCTGAAATATCAGCATTACATTAGTGCCAGGCTGATAATGATAAAACTACAGCAGCACACAACTACATTTAGAAAATCAGGATAACAACCACAGCTGTATCTGACACATCGGGGAAAGTACAGTAGCACCTGACACATGATAACCACAGTAGAACCTGACACATTGGGATAACGAGGGTAACCCATGACACATTGGGATAACAACTACAATAGCACCTGACACATCAGGATAACAACTACAGCAGTATGTGGGACATCAGGATAACAACTAAACAACTATAGCAGTATCTGACACATCAGGATAACAACTATAACAGTATCTGACACATCAGGATAACAACTAAACAACTATAACAGTATCTGACACATCAGGATAACAACTAAACAACTATAGCAGTATCAGACACATCAGGATAACAACTATAACAGTATCTGAGACATCAGGATAACAACTAAGCAACTATAGCAGTATCTGAGACATCAGGATAACAACTAAACAACTATAGCAGTATCTGACACATCAGGATAACAACTATAACAGTATCTGACACATCAGGATAACAACTAAACAACTATAACAGTATCTGACACATCAGGATAACAACTAAACAACTATAGCAGTATCAGACACATCAGGATAACAACTATAACAGTATCTGAGACATCAGGATAACAACTAAGCAACTATAGCAGTATCTGAGACATCAGGATAACAACTAAACAACTATAACAGTATCTGACACATCAGGATAACAACTAAGCAACTATAGCAGTATCTGACACATCAGGATAACAACTAAACAACTATAGCAGTATCTGACACATCAGGATAACAACTAAACAACTATAACAGTATCTGACACATCAGGATAACAACTAAGCAACTATAGCAGTATCTGACACATCAGGATAACAACTAAACAACTATAGCAGTATCTGACACAACAGGATAACAACTAAGCAACTATGGCAGTATCTGACACATCAGGATAACAACTAAACAACTATAGCAGTATCAGACACATCAGGATAACAACTATAACAGTATCTGAGACATCAGGATAACAACTAAGCAACTATAGCAGTATCTGAGACATCAGGATAACAACTAAACAACTATAACAGTATCTGACACATCAGGATAACAACTAAGCAACTATAGCAGTATCTGACACATCAGGATAACAACTAAACAACTATAGCAGTATCTGACACATCAGGATAACAACTAAACAACTATAACAGTATCTGACACATCAGGATAACAACTAAGCAACTATAGCAGTATCTGACACATCAGGATAACAACTAAACAACTATAGCAGTATCTGACACATCAGGATAACAACTAAGCAACTATGGCAGTATCTGACACATCAGGATAACAACTAAACAACTATAGCAGTATCTGACACATCAGGATAACAACTAAACAACTATAGCAGTATCTGACACATCAGGATAACAACTAAGCAACTATGGCAGTATCTGACACATCAGGATAACAACTAAACAACTATAGCAGTATCTGACACATCAGGATAACAACTAAACAACTATAGCAGTATCTGACACATCAGGATAACAACTACAGTAGAACCTGACACATGATAACACCTTCAGCAGTATATGAGACATGATAACACCTACAGGAACATCTGACACATAATAACACCTACAGGAACATCTGGCACATAATAGATACAACAGCTCCTGACACATAAAACACCTACAGGAGCACCTGATATATCAGCATGATATTATTACTGCAGAAACACCAGAAACATAAGGTAGGTCTTACCATCCCTGACATGCAGATAGTCGTAGCCACCAGTGCAGATTGCATTCTCAGGTGCCCACTGCAGGTGAGAACTGACCACTGTCCCATGAACCCTTTTCCCAGCACCTGCATCTATGAGCCATCTACAGTCATAGTTGTTGTCATAAAATGTCTGTCCTTCAAGCCGAGTGTATATCGATCCTGAATCCACTCCTTCAATTCTTGTGATGGAATTAGCTTCATTTGTACAGGAGTAGTTCCCAGCATAGCACCATGAAGCTGGAACACAATATGTACATATGTCAACCTCTTTTGGTTAGTTCTAACACAATAGTTATTACACTTTGAAGGTATTGAAATATGGGTCAGATGTTTCTTATATTAGCGGATTTCAAATTTGCTTAATATAAACTATAATCTTGACTTGTTTGGCTTGTCTTCTGTGCTATTCTCGCTGTGCTGGGCAAAGTGAAAAAAATCTGAGAAAATGTGCAGTCAAACATGTTTCGATAAACATTACCTGATGAAATGTTTTAAAAAACCTAATAAAAAATATCAGCATAATACCCCCTCTTGCAAACAAGGTCCTCCCTAGCTGGTATAAAGCAGTTTGTTGGATCACCGAGTACACTTCGATCACTAACTATGCTGACATGAGGAAACTTTAGGTATAGTAACTATATAATGATTATCATATAATACATACATCAAACTTGCAAATAGGCCATAAAATTTATAATCACAAATTGTGGATCTCAATGTACCATGATGTACATACAAACTATGACTTATTATTTTTTAATTCATATTTTCTACGAACTACTTACCTGACAATACATAGATGATGTAATACCAGAAGATGTGGGTATTCTGACAAGCTGCTTTAATATTCTGGATCAGGGACTGCATATTGAAAGTCTGAAACAGAAGAACTCCATTAGTATATTGGCAGCTTGGCATGGAGGGGTTATTACTATTGCTAAAACAACCATGGCTTGCCACAAAACTTAACACAAGCACATCTCTTGCTTGATGGTGGTGTTAGCAGCGACATGGAAACATCACTTACATTATGATAAAGAAGTTGTATATCCAAAGAACTGTCCCTGTTATTTGTAAATCACATGACCTGTTACATTATAACTCATCAAAGTTCCTTTACTTAACTTTGTTCCAGTCTCATTGTCAGCCAATTTAGCGCTCATAACAGCTATTATCATCATATTCATGGTTCTTTCAAACAATCATTTAGTCAGACAACTACGTGCAAATCAATATATTATCAGTTAATCCTTTTAATAAAGGATATTTTTATATGACATGATGTGGGTTAGTACACATACATAAACACTAAACTTTGGCAAATCCACTCTGCATGATAACATTGATCGATGTTTAACTCAACTGAAAATTGCATGTGCATACAAGCGAGTCCGGTAATTCTGCACGTCCGGTAATTCTGCACAGCTGCAAAAGCGTACATTTGTATCGAAGGTAAACATTGTCTGCTACCACATTTACGCTTGAAATCGGGACATTTCTACAAGGGACTGGCTTTTAATCATGAAAGGTAAGTAAATAACAGTTATTGACAGATAAATTGCCAGTTTTATGAAAATTCGTTTTCTTCAGACTATTAAACCTTTTTCTTCATTATTAATAATAGGATTTAATATGAAACACTCTTCCTTACATTGATGAAGTGATTTTTGAAAATAATCTGGCCCTAATACTGATCCATACTTCGGATCTCCAGCTCCGCAGAATTGACGGACAGCAAGTGATGTCGTCAGAACGCCAGTAAGGTCAACCGTATGGCAAAATGCACCGTTAGAATCTTATAGTCGTCAATAAAACTTATATTTCTAGGTAAATATGATGCATGCCAGCATGTTTAGTCATGTAAACAACAAAAAATGAGAGATGTTGGTTGCCGTGTTGCGATCGATGTGCGTTGGTGCGCGGAATTACCGGACGGCATTGTATAGCATTGCATGTAATACATTTGCCACACTAGGCCTGTATTTATGAATAGTAATTACCCCACAGACAATAAATGCCAGCTGAGAACCTTCTTTAGGCAGTCTGACTGGTGTTACCACTAATGATGCCTGTTATACATTATCAAGTGAATGATGAAAAATACACACGTGTAGGTTTACACCACCAACAAAGGATTAGTAATTCTTGTATTGAATGCAATTTAGTTGTTTCATTCCTGTTTTGAGGACCCGAACAGAGCTTTATTGTTGAATATCATATAACATGTAAACACATTAGCTGTGTACTAAAGTTAATAATTGTATGTACATATTTTACCTAGCAGCGGTACCATTCTTTCAGTGGATTCGTTTAAGTTGAAGAACTTATTTGACATGCACTTTGGTATGCGTATGTGTGTATAACATTGCTTCAAAAATATGCCCGCGGTCCTTACAGATAGCTTGTCAAACTCAGTTGCGTCCGATGTCAAATCTTTCCTCAGCAGCTGAGACAGTGGCAGTGTTAGACAGCTTGGTTGAAGCCACAGATGAATGCTTCTTTAATATATACAATATCACTGATACGTTATTTCGACTTATCTCGATATTATACCACGAATAGTAAAAAAAATTAAGAAACTACATCGTGACCTGACATTAAATATAGTTCTGTGGTTATACTAGGAGTATGTGTCACGGTCATCCTAATTGACTGTAAACTATGGGGACTAATGACTATTACTATATTCTGAAACTTTTGCAATTCATATTCAAACTTCTACACAAACACTAAATTGTAGCCTACATCGAAAATGTGTACAATATATTGAAATGAAATATGATCGTCTGCTCTTGTTTTGCAGGTTGATACATCCTAACGTCAATAAAGGTCTACTCACATACACGAGGACGTTTGATGAGACATAAATAAGGTCACTTTATTTCTGAAATGACAGCATTGACATATCCACAACAACTTTGAACCAGGATCTTTAATGTTATTATGACATATTTTGCATGTCTTCCGCAATCGACATTCAGCACTTTGGTGTTTTCCGGATAAGAGAGCTCCAGACATGCGTACATATGACTTCCTGTCAGTTCATTGTGTTGCCAGGTAGCAGTGAAGTGACAAGCTATTGATAATATTGTGATTTTCAGCTTCCTGGGTGAGGACATAAGTTGCAGCACGATGGCAAAGGAATGTCTAGATGACGCTTCATTTAATAACCTGCTTGCCAGTATAAATCAGGTATGTATTTTATTGATACAAGTTTGTTTCTAGGGTAAACAACCGCATTTCGATATCGAAAAGATTCGTCTGCTAAACTTGTTAAATGAAGAGTCATCATGTTGTGATAAAAACATTGAATAATTTTGGAGTAATAGATAGGAGTGAATACAAAACGTGTTTTGGCAAGATTTAGTGATGAGACAAGTTCCATATTCATATATAACGAGATAATATCAGTGTTTTTCTGAGTTGCTATCGAGATCTCTTTAATGGTCAAAGTGGGTGTCCACACGAAATGTCACTAGATGTTGATCTTGAAATAAGTACTTTCAAAACTTTACAGAGTCTGTTAGGAATGAAATGAAACAGTCACAAAAAGAAACTTCTTGACTATAAAACTGTTAGAGCAGACTCTAAAGGAGCTCTAGCAGATGCTCATAATGGCAATTTTTAGTTATGAACTAGAAATGCAAATTACTATACATCATTACATCTTTTATTTTGACTGACAAAAACACAGGGAGTTCATTGAAAGAATAGCAAGATAATTTATTCTAACATGTCTATCATCTTGTATAGGGATGTTACGATACATAAGTTTCATGAATCGATACATATCATGATACCCATGTCACGATTCGATGGATATCACCAGTGTAGGAAAGATAGCCCGTCCCAACGTCCGAGACGGGTGAATTTTGTGGAGGACGGGTTAAAAAAATATCTAGTCCGTCCTCATGTCGGGTCAATTTTAGCAAACCAATGACATATATATAATGATTATAACCTTTTTGAATATTTACTGCCGAAGGTGTTTTATTTATATTTGGAGGACAGGCCAGATTTTGGCAGGACTGGTAAAAAATTTGACCTGCCAGTCCTGTGGACAGGCTAGATTTTCTACATCTTTCCTACACTGATATCACAATACCTATTTTCATGGCATTATTGTGTAAATTTAGTTACATTTTGAACATTAATATTGCATATTTTATAATTGTCCATGAAAAGATCAACATTTTCCCATTTTTTCTTCTCAGATATTAAAAAATATGCATGAAAAATAATCATTTATGACTCTCATGACATCAAAAAACATGATACAATTGCAAAATGTAAATGATACATAAACATATTTAAACTGATACTTTCAAAACTAAATATCGATACAGTTTTGAATGTATTGATAATTGTAGCATCTTAGCAAAAGTGTTGATGCATCGATGTGTCTTGTGTATATTGTATCATTGCATAAAAACTCCTGTAACAGTGCACTTAGTGATATGATATTTCACTCCATGAATTAGCATAACACAGTTATGAACTATATGGAGATGTATTTTAGAACAAAAATTCATTACAATAATGAAGACATAATTGAAAAGAAGATGAAGTCGCCGGTAGTTCGTGTAAGTTTACTGGCATTCACGTTTCAGTACAGGCATTCCCGCAACACTTACGAGGCAAGGCAAGGCACAATCACACACACTGTCAAAACCATGGACAGCACGTGATTACATAAAAATTACACACTTACGAGAGCAAACGAAATCGGGTGCTTCTGCTGGGTGTATGTAATTGTTGAACTGGCAAAAAAAGCGGAAAAGGCTTAATTCCCTTATCATAATTAAAATTCAAAATAACATAATTCATTACTTTCTGACATAATAATAATAATAACTAGGATTGCCGACAATACTGACGGTCTTCAGACTTCCCCATACACTCCCCGTGGCTACCTTCACTTGTACTGTTTCTTTGGTCCCCAGCTGGAGCGTCCATTTTAATTCTCAGAGTTATGGACGTTTGAAGTGTACTTAAAGGCTAGAAAGCGTCCAAAACGCAGGCAGAACACGTTTTTGACACGCGAGCGGATCGGTGAAATGCAGTCTGGGTCGCGGGGTAATGTACCTTTTAAATAGTTCTGGAGAAGATATAGTTCTCTCTCTAACAGGCCGTAGCTCCGCTGTCCTTGGGTCTACAGTCCAAACGATTAGTGTTCTGGAATCGCCACGATCCTAGCTATCTGACGCATAGACGTATGTGCATATACTGCACTTGTGAAACAACCATAGATTTATGTGTGCATATAGTGCATTTGTTAAACACCCATTCAAAAATTTGAAATAAAACTCATATCTGACTCTGTACTTACAATGTTTATTCATTCAAACTTGTTCTCGACGCTGTATGGCTAGGATAATACCGATGCAACGTAAAGGCCAATTGAAGGGAAACTATTTCTTTGGGCATTGGATGACGTTCCAGCTCAGGTTTGATAGCTCCTTGTCATTGTCAATTACATCTGTCGTTGAAATTCACATCGTCTCCCATATATCTGCACGTGGACCACGCTTTGCAGTGGTAGTCTCTTTATAGGAGATACTAGTATCTGATCTCCCGCGTGAACGCTCATCTGATAGTGAACAACCTGAGGGAAGTTTATCTGTATCATAAATTGCAACTGTGTAATGTGACTAACAAATTGCCTGCTTTTAAATTTAGTGCTATGACTTTTTCTGTTTTTAAATGACAACGTAATGAATAGATGTTTTTTAAATAAAACTCATTTTGACTCTGTACTTACAATGTCTATTAATGCAGACTTGTTCTCGTCACTATATGGTTGGAATAATGCCGATGTGACGTAAAGCCCAACTCAACTCAACTCAACCATTCAAAAATTACTGTGGTGCGGTTAAAGGCCGGGGGTCAAACCTGAGATGAATTTGGCATTGATTCAATGCTGCTGACACAAACAGAAAATTCACAAACTGCAGAAAAACAAACAGGAAGACACAGTCAAACAAAGCAAAATAATAATGCAATATCTACAGAAATATACTAAAAGAGATTACTGGTAAATATTGTAGATTTTGTTGTGGTCAAAAAGTCAAGCAAATTCCTGTCAGTCAGGCTGGTAAGCAAACTGCTGGAGAGATCACATCCTGGCAATCCCAGAACACTAATTGTTTTGACTGCAGACCTAAGAACAACGGAGTTACGGCCTGTTAAAGAGGGAACTATTTCTGTGGGCACTAGAAAACAAGGAAGCGGTGATAGTTGCTAGATTTTACGACGCTTCCTCCAGCTATCTCACAACTGTCACAACTAACAAAATTGGAAATCCTAATGTCCCTCCCTTTTTGTGGCGTAATTGTGGTGTAATTATCGACTTTTACATAATAATAATGTGAAGCAAAAATGTTCCACATTTCAATATCTACAGTTTGGTATCTTGAAAATTGATATCCATTGTGTTTTCGCAGAGCTGTGAACCCTATAAAAATGCGTTTTGCCAAAATTGACCAACTTTCCAAGGGCAATACCTCCGACACTATTCAAGATATCGACATGCCTTAAATGGTTTAGGTAGTCCGAAGTGTGGGCTTTAAAACAATATATAGAACACTATTGTACCATTTGCCGTTCAGGAGAAGAAGATTGTTAAACACAGGCAACGTCAAAAAAGTCGCGAAAGGTTGTCTTTGTGCCGTAATGGTGACGTAATTATTGATTTTTACATAATAATAATGTGAAGCAAAAATGTTCCACATTTCAATATCTACAGTTTGGTATCTTGAAAATTGATATCCATTGTGTTTTCGCAGAGCTGTGAACCCTATAAAAATGCGTTTCGCCAAAATTGACCAACTTTCCAAGGGCAATACCTCCGACACTATTCAAGATATCGACATGCCTTAAATGGTTTAGGTAGTCCGAAGTGTGGGCTTTAAAACAATATATAGAACACTATTGTACCATTTGCCGTTCAGGAGAAGAAGATTGTTAAACACAGGCAACGTCAAAAAAGTCGCGAAAGGTTGTCTTTGTGCCGTAATGGTGACGTAATTATTGATTTTTACACAACCATGATGTGGAGCAAAAATGTTTCCCATTCAATTACCTACAGGTTGGTACTTAGGAAAATTGAATCCATTGATTTTTCGCAGAGTTGTGACCTTTTTTTTAACCCTATGAAAATGCGTCTTAGAAAAATTGACCAAATTCCAAGGGTGATAACTCTTAAACTATTCAAGATATCGATATGCCTTGAAGGGTTTAAGTAGTCCGGAGTGTGGGCTTTAAAATGATATACGAACACGATTGTACTATATGCCATTCTGGAGAAGAAGATTTTCAAACACAGGCACCGTCAAAACTTGAAAATTGGCCAAAAAAATCAGTTTTTTCAAAATAGCGCAAAATTTGACCTGCTGGCCAACTTCCGCTATGTGTTGAATCGACGGGGAATGGTGTTGTCTACATTGAGTGAAAATTTGGTCAACTTATCCCTTATAGTTTGATATATTGAGGTTGAAAGATTTCGACATTTTGGGTTATCTGCCCTTACCGGAAGCTGAAATTCGGGATTTTTCGACTATGTATCAATTTCAGCATACAGGCTATCATCCCTGAAAGTTTCACGAAAATCTGCCCAGCGGTTAGGTCAGGAGAGCTGTCACAAAATTTGTACAAATAACAATAATACTAAGAAGAAGAATATTCGGATAATAACAGTAGGTCTTCCAGACTTTCGTCTGAAGACCTAATAATATTTGGATAATAACAGTAGAATAATAACAGTAGGTCTTCCAGACTTTCATCTGAAGACCTAATAATAATAATAATGTATTTATAAAGCGCCTAATATCCACCATAGAGATGCTCAGTGGCGCTGTGACAATATTGGTGAAGGAAATAGTTCATATAAATTTACAGAAAGACAGCAGTGAATAGATGGGTCTTTAGCAGAGATTTAAAAGTTTCTTCGATGAAGTGTTCCTGATTTCCTTTGGAAGACAGTTCCACAGTTTAGGGCTGGCACAGGAGAAGGCCCGGTCAGACAGTTGGTTTGGAGATCTGTGTTGGGTTAGGAGAGAGCCAGAGGAGGATCGGAGACTTTGCTGAGGTACATACACAGAGATGAGATGTTTGAGATAGTCGGGAAAGTTATCATTGTAGAGGCAGTCATGATTCTGAATGAGGATTTTGAAGGTAATTCTTGCAAAGATGGGGAGCCAGTGTAGAGACTGTAGTACTGGGGTGATATGGTCATGACGATGAGTGTGGTAGATACATCTGGCAGCAGAATTTTGGATTTTTTGAAGTTTCTGGAGTGGTTTATTTGAGAGGTTGGCATATAGTGAATTACAGTAGTAGAGTTTGGAAGTGACAAGACAGTGCAGGGGTTTACAAGTGTCAGTATCAAGGTAGTGGCGGACTTTGCTGATGTTATGGATGGAGGTGATGTGTGCATCCATGGACATGTTGGAATCAAGGATGACACCAAGATTCCGGGCACTTTCTGATGGTAGGATGTCTGTGTCACCAATACGAAGTGAAGGTAATGACAAAGCAGTCTTCAACTTTATAAGCTGATGTTTGGAGCCGATGAGAAGGAACTCAGTCTTCTCCTTATTCAACTTCAAGTAGCTGGAGGTCATCCACGATTTGATTTCATTAATGCATAGCTCAAGTTTGTTGATATACAGTGAAACATCGTCTGATTCAAAGGCAATGTAGAGAGTTGCGTATCATTCGCATATATGTGGAAACCAATGAAATGCCGCCTAATATTATGTCACCAATGGGGAGAATGTAGACTGTAAACAGAAGGGGGCCAAGAACTGATCCCTGGGGAACACCATATAACAGTGGTGACTTTGATGAATGAATATTTCCGATTTTGACAGATTGTGTGCAGCCTCGTAAATATGAAGAGATCCACTTCAGCGCATTTCCTGTTATCCCAATGTGATTTTTAAGTCGATGCAGGAGTAAGGTATGATATATGGTATCGAATGCGCTGGAAAGATCAAGGAGCACAAGCGCTGTCACCTTCTTGTGGCCCATATTGAGAAGGATATCATTGTGGATTCGCACGAAAGCTGTCTCCGTACTATGAGATGTCTTGTAGGCCGACTGGAACGACTCTGCAAGGTAGTTTTTCTCAAGATGTACCTTCAGTTTGCCAGCTACCACTTTCTCTAAATATTTGGATACAAATGAAAGGTTGGAGATTGGACGGAAATGTTTCAAATTGTTTTCATCAGCTCCAGGTTTCTTTAGAACTGGCGTGACAATTGCATGTTTAAAAACACTCGGAACAATGCCAGAGGAGAGAGATGAGTTCATAATGTCCCATACTGCAGGTGCTAAATAGGATAGCACAGACTTGAACAGCCAGGTATGAATGAGATCCAGTGGTGAAGATTTAGATGGTGCATTCTTCATGATATCCAGTACAAGGTTGACAGAAACATGTCCAAAGCTTTCAAGCACATTACCAGAGAACTTGCTTTCATTAGAAGTGGAGCTAGTTTGATTGTATCCTGTATCAAGATTGATTCTAATCCGATGTATCTTGTCCTGAAAGAACGTAGCGAATTTCTCAGCCAGAACAGTTGGAGTACTGTGCTCTGGAAGCTGTGTCCAGAGTTACCCTTTATAAGTTGGTTCAACAGTTTGAACAGTTCTTTTGAATTGTTCTTATTTTTGGTTATACCATCTGATACAAACTTTTGCTTTGCTGTTTTCAAGGCTGAGTTCACTTTATTTCTGGTAACTTTATATATCAGTGTTCACGAATGGTGTTTCAAAGTAACAGGACATTGGGTCCTGTAAGTTTCAGATGTCTGTCTGACCCATTGAAAATTCACAGGACCCGTAGAATAAAATTAGACAAACATTTCAGTTTTAACATTTCTTATAATTGGCATTGAAATTATTAACAAACATAAGATTTTTAAACATCAAACAAATGTCACATGTCACATTATAACAACTTCAGTCAAAGACATTGTGAAATATACAGTCAGACACTGGGGCCGGCGGGTTGAAGACTTCTATCGAACCGTTGGCGAATCTACCAGATTTGTCGGAGGGTCAGACGCTATTCGTAAACACTGATATATCTGGCGATGAACTTCGAGTTTGCTCCTGCGCCAAGATTTTTCAGCAGATCTACACAGATGTTTCAAGTGTCTGACTTCATCATCATACCAACCTGTATTTGGACGAACAATGATGGAACGTTTCCTAATAGGAGCATGACTGTCAAGAATGTCTACCAGACTGTCATTAAATATTTCACATTGGAGTCAACATGATCGGCATTGCATACATTTGCTGTGATGTCGCATCTAAATGATCTAAGTCATCAGCAAAAATATCCATATCAATGCTTCGTGTTTTGTGATAAGTGAAGACCTTGCGTACTGGTCCAGGCTTTGATAGATCAAGAGTAATGTCAATCAAAAAATGATCTGAAATCTGCTTATCTGAAACATCATTAATTGAGATGAAGTCATCCATTTCTCTAGTAATAACAAGATCCAAAGTATGACCTACTTTGTGTGTGGCGGTTTTCACATGTTGTCGGAGATTAGCAGATGGCAGTAGCTGAAGGAAATCCTGTGCAAACTTGTCAACATTTTTGTCAACATGAATATTAAAATCACCAGTGATCAGAAGATGCCCATGAGAGACTGCTACTGTTTCAATTAGTTCTGACATTTTAGTAGGGAACATATCATTTGTAAGTTTATTTTTCTTTGATGGTGGTGGTCTGTAGACAATGAGAAGTTTGACAAAACAATGTTCATTCCTGATGTTTAAGGTGAGATCAAGAACCTCAAATGACTGGAATGCATGAACAATTGACTTGACATAATGATAAATAATAATTCAAAGCTGACTCATCTTTGAAATAACATTTTTCAGAACAGTAGTAATGTATAAATCTATTATGCGAGACAAAGGATGGAAAATTGAAACTTTGTGTGAGTGACAGATTAGTATAGCTGAAGGGGTCGTTGTCGGCACAGGTACTACAGATACGTACCCCAGGTACCTTTCTGTATACAGATATGTATCCTAAACAAAGTCAAAATACAGAAACGTACCCGTTACCCTAAAAGGCGGACGAGTCCATATTCCGCAATACAAAAGCGAAATCGCATGTAGTTGTTCCCGTTCAACTGATTCCGAGTGGTATTCATATGCATCGCGAAATGTCCGTTACTGTGTATTCTCATTACTTACATAACGCAATCAAATGTATCTAATACAACAGTATGACGTTCCGGTCAAGAATACGACACAATGGACATGGAATCCTCCTAGGGTACGTTTCTGTATTTTCATTATGGCCAAGGTACGTTTCTGTATACAGAAAGGTACCTGGGGTACATATCTGTAGTACCCGTGCCGACAACGACCCCTTCAGCATTAGTATAGGGTATTTGTTAAACATTTCAAAATTAGTTTGAATATTAATTATGGTAAATTAATGATTGGTTGAAAGTTAAAATAAAAAGCAATTGTCCACTTAGACTTAAAGGTTTCATGCCAGTGTATCCTTAAAATGGTTAAAAAAAACACTGATCAATAGCAATAGCAATAGCAATAATTATGAATGAAAAGGGGCTAATTCTGCATTTAAACACCGCATAGACTCAAAATCATTTATAAATAAATATTGCTGATGTTTATTGATTTCATAATGTTTATTTTCAAGGAAACAAATGGAGCAGAAAATAAGCTGAAGAAACTGTACAGTTCCAGAGGTTATTTCAGCTCAGCGCAGGTGAGAGTTACCTGTCCTTGACTTCAGTTTCATACGTTCTTTTAGATGGCTAGTCCGGAGTATTGGGTGAAGATTGTCTCGAGGGTTAAATCCAAGGGGGATAATTCGTAGATGTCAGCTTTTTTCATTCTGAGGAACACAATATGTCATAGTTTATGCTTGCTTCTTCATCACGTGGTCTTGTTTTTGTTCATTGCTATGACTCCAATCATCTCCATGAAGATTTGATATGAAGTATTTACATGGATATTTAGAAATGTAATACACAACAATAAAAATCTATAGATGTCAACCGGATAATGAAGTAAGCACATACTCCAAAAATTGTGTTTGTCATTATAAAGAAGTTAAATCCATAAATTCATTCCTTTATGTGTGTCACTTCAAAATTGACAGACTTACATATATTAGGTTGGAAAACAACCCAGCAAAATATGTAAATAGTAACTGAAATGCAGTTTCAAAAGATTGATTGTATTTGTTACTTCCATTATTCAGTCTTTTTAAAATAAATTTACCAAACAATATAATTAAGTTCAGGTCACCTGACTGGTGAAAGTCTAGTCAAATAATATCATGGCCTTTGTGTAGGGTCCTTATTCAGCTGTAAACATGATCTCCTGAGAAACAATTTCACATACCATCACGACAACAGTGTTCACGAATAGCGTCTGACCCTCTGACAAATCCGTCAGATTCGCCAACGGTCAGACAGAAGTCTACAACCCGCCGGCCCCAGTGTCTGACTGTATATTTCACAATGACTTTGACTGAAGTTGTTTTATGTGACATGTGACACTTGTTTGCTGTTTATAAATCTTATGTTTGTTAATAATTTCAATGTTAATTATAAGAAATATTAAATCTGAAATGTGTGTTTAATTTTATTCTATGGGTCCTGTGCATTTTCAATGGGTCAGACAGACATCTGAAACTTACAGGACCCAATGTCCTGTGACTTTGAAACACCATTCGTGAACACTGGACAAATGGTACATTTGTTTCTTGTTTTGGAGCTCAGGTTACATATTTCACTTTTCACAGTTTTTCAAAGTTTGACTATGCTGGGGAGTCTATAATCCTCTGAAAATGCATTTCCCATGCTGTTAATGTCTTGGCTTGAAGATTGCTGAATGGAACAAGGCCAAGGTGACCTAAAACTGGGATTGCACTAAAGCAATGAAAAGGTGTCAACATCAGTCAGTTTATGGGTGCTACAGCACTTAGAACATATGCACTTTAAAAAGGTTTTTCATTCATATGTTTTTCCATGACAAAATATGTTTCAAAAGTGATGCATAAAAACAAGAAGACTGTAAGTGTATTTCAAATAATACAGCTGCAAGGTGTCCTTTGTACAGGCAGCCAAGGTTTTGTATGCTCTCGCCTGCCCTGCTGACAAGGTGAAGGCCATCCAGATCCTGGAGCCAGTGAGTATACCCTAGTCTGTCTCACAGTCCCTGAACCACATTATTTTCCCGACTTTCAAGCCCTCTCTGCAGTGCTAAAGCCGTAAATAAAGCAAGTCTAGATTTCCTCAGGTTCAGGGGCTACTTTTCAATTTAAATGGGTTTATTTGCTACTATCAAAATTATATGTATTCAGGGACTAAACGTTAGTCTAAGTATACCCCTGCAGCAACTGTCTGCTACTTCAGAAACTGATCCAAGACCAGAGTCTCTATTGTTAATGGCTTACAGATACTTTATATGACGCCAAGACACTTTAGCTGGCAAATTGACTCAAAATATTTTGGCAGAGACTGAAATTTTCAAGTTAAATTTTGATGGCTGTTGTATAATTGTTATGATCCTTGCTGATTCAGATAATGAAAAGGTATGAATCTGTTTGAAACAGTTCAGTCTGTTGAGTCAGCCAATGTGTTTTGTTGCAGCGACTTTGTCGGATGACCTGCAAGGATTCCCGTGACATCATCGGTGCCGTTAGCGTCCACAATGACAAACTCATTGTACTTAACTGTGTCAAGAGGTAGGTTGATGTCAAGGTCCGATGGTAAGATGGTAATCAGTTGGAAATAGGAAAACACATGCATTTCTATGAAGTAAAGGGATTTTGTCAGACTAAGAATTTTCAGACTACAAAATTTCATGACTTTCAAAAATGACTTTTATTAAATTTATGCCTGTCTGCAAAAGACCCACAGGAATGGATTTCAGCTTTCCTTCATTTTCTACCTCAAAAAGAGTGCAGTGTGTACATGTAATTGCCAGAGATGTCTGTGTTGTACTTGGAGGCAGGGTCCAGTCAGCCTGTGGATTGAACATAAAAAGGGAAGATATGTGGAAACAAACTCTACAAATTACTAATTTGCTGACATGTTGCCTTCTCTTCTGCATACATGAACAAGGTTAAACTGCTTGACAGTAGGTGACAGTTGCTTCACAGACAAGACACACTTAATCAACACTACATTTATGGCAACATTTTCAGATACTTTCTGAAGAACAAAACAAAGCAAATAATTGCAATGTCCTGTATTGTTTTAACTTTCTTGTAAAAATTAATATGGCAAGAAATAAGAAAAGCTTGACCTGATGACCTTCGATGTGTCTACACTCACTATGGTGGTGAATGTCTGCCACTGATAACATTTTAGTCTGTCCTCAATGTTGAGCTGAAAATCTCTTCAAAGCTGTATAAAACCCATCCCATGGACTCACCCAACCAGAGTTTGCTTCTTGCAGGGTTTTGACAGATTATCAAACCAGACTTGGGGAGGAATACATCTTGAGTGCTTTCCCATTTGAACACGACAAGCGGCAGGCACTGCAGATACTTCAAACTGTGAGTTGATAATCCACCTGAACATCCTCAAATATATGCTGTATTATGTCAACATTGTATTGCGATGAATATCCTGTCCCCATTTACTAAAGCATGGTTTAGGTGAAGTCACTTGTTCCATTTGTCCTCTCACCAAATTTCTCTATTTCATGAACAAGAAACCAATAACCAGTCACAACACAAGAATTTTGGCACTGATAGATCTACTTTCAAAATAACAGCCTTGGACTAGCTGATCCTTTGGAGTGAGTGAGTGAGTTTGGTTTTACGCCGCTTTTAGCAATATTCCAGCAATATCACGGCGGAGGACACCAGAAATGGGCGTGACGAGCGAACGTCTTAACCACTAGGTTACCCCAACGCCCCGATCCTTTGGAACATTTAACCAAACTCGAAAGTAGTTACAAGTTACCACTTGCAAGCAAAAATGTTTTCCAGTGTATTCTGTGAACTCATATCAGTTTCTATGGGAACCATTTAGTGAGTGTACACAGCAATAATTGACAACAATCTGTTAATATTTGAGTCAGGGCCAGATGAGGCAGTGGTTGATATTATGTATTTAAGAAATACAGTTCTCTCTACCACCATGTATAAGTGTAATAAAACACACTTTCGCCTGAACTATTATAGTTAAAGTACGAGGACGCTTGCGTCCGAGTCCTTTAACGTTATAATAGTTCAGGGCAAAAGTTTGCTTTATTACACTATACATGGTGGTAGAGTGAACTGTATTTCTTTTCTAAGATGCCAAATTTAACACTTTCTAAGAGAAATTACGATTAATTTAAGGCAGAAATCAAACGACGATGTCGGTGACCTAAATTAAGAATGCTCGCACAGGGCTAACTGGCGTGCTGTTCTATTGATGTGTCTGCCCCCCCTACATTAAGACGAACGTTACCAGAAAAAAACAAAATGATAACAGTTTGATGACAGTTTACGTTTGGATTAAATATCATCTCTGAATTATTTTAATTACATCTGTGATTAACCATATGGGGCAATATGAATGTCGCATTTCTACTACCAGCGTAAGTTTAGATCAGTACAACCAGATGAAGTTGAGTAGTCAAGCGACATTCCACGATTGCATTGAGGGAATGTAAACATTTCGAACGTTACCGTGTCGCTGAAAACTTGTGAGTCGAATTGACACATTTTAACCGTCATAAAACATAAACGTAATGTTTCCACCAGTGATGTTAGCTGCGTGAAGCAACTGCAAACCAAAAAACGTGTTGCAACGGAGTAGTTTAGTGTAGGAGGCCGTACAAGGCGATGACAACTGACATGCATTGTGACGTCGCTTACATTGTAAAATGGTTCGATTATGAGGGGGCACACTAGAATGGCGCAGTGACGGGATAACGTCATTCAATTGTTACGTCATCAAAAAAACTTTACCTTTATTGTCTGATAATGTTTGTTTTTTTCGATTGTTCTAACCGCTAGGCATCTTAGAATGATCTATACATAAACATGTACATGTTTGTGTTCTAAATTTTCTGCTTACTGCAGGTGCGTTCTGATGTAGCTGACAAGGTCCCTGCTGGAGGTCACCAAGGCTATGCAGCTCTTGGAGGCCTGTACACCCAGTCCCGCCCCCTGGTGCCACACCTGTATGGGGGCCTCCTGCACCAGAGTCTCAGCATGTCTGTAAGTCCATTACCTCTTGGTTTGGGTAAGACTGATACAGAACAAGTGTGTTATAACTGTACTACAGTATTTCATGTTTACACACAATTATTCCAGCAAATGGAACCTATATGTATGAATAAAATATAATTCTGTCATGTATAGAAAATCCCAGTGGAAAGAAGATAGTGATTTTAAATATGAATCATGCCAATGCAAATTATGGATTAAATGATTGACATAAAAGTATTTATAACCTAAAGATGAAATGAGGACAAGCTTTCAGCACAGTGTGAATAACAGACAAAGAGATTAAGACACACTCTTCTTGGAGATTTCCCAGCTGTACCAGGGTCACTCACTCACTGACTCACTAACCATGACACAATGGCTACACAGTTCCAATCTGTCTCCAGGGTCACGGCCAGATTGAGATTCCAGTGACAGCGAAGATGAATTCCACTACTTCCATGTACACGAATCATCCATCATACATGTACCCCAAGGACAAGAGCTATGCGGAAACTCGGGGCTATCCAGGACATGTTGGATTCCCAGCCACAATTGACAGTGTACCAGCGTACCCAGGGGGAGCCCCGCCCCTGGGCAGACACAGTGGTGCCCCCGCCCCCACAGGCTTTCCGTCACTCGATGAATCAGGGTTTGCTTACTAGTAATAATGGAGGTAAATACAGGCTGTGATATTGTACAGTTGCTTGATTCCAGTTTGAGGGGTAGTCGATGGTGGTGTTTGATGAGGGGTTGGTGGACTAATGTCTCGAATTTTGTTGGGTAACCATCATGTTAGAAGAATGTGTTTTAAATGTCTCAGAATTGTATTATACTATTCCTGATGTCCCAGAATTATTTCTATTTTATTGTTTTTTTATTACACTTAACATTGTAAATATTTTTTTTGAACTGTTATCTTATGCACTTTTACAATTTTATTGTTCTGATGTCTCATCATTTTGAACAGTGTATCAATTGCATTCTTACAATGTCATTGATAGTTGTATCCTTTGATGTTCAATGATGTGAATGCCCAGCATCACTTTAGATTGCATGTAGGAAGTGCCAAAGGTCTTCATGCATTGAGGAGGGCAGCAAGATTTTAAGAGAAATTATCAGCATTAACAGAGACTGTGAAACTTTCAAGATGATATATCAGCATTACCAGACAATGCCATGTGTGTCTTTTTGACAGGTATGCACAATATGCAGTGTAACAGAATACCTTTTTCTGTCAAAAATAACTTTTACCAAATGTTTGTAGTTCTGGGAGCTATTTGAAGTATATATATATATATATTGTTCGACACCAGGTGTCACTTGAGTGGATTTACGTTATATCAATATTGTCAATATATTGACTCTATATGCCTTTACACATATTAAACAGTGGTACTTTAAGGAAGATGGGAGGTATCACCTTGTGATGCTGTTTGTATCTACATCTTGTATAAGTGACTGAGTTTCTACAGATTTACAATATCCCAGCATTATCAGTGTTCCCAGTTTTTACTCACCAGTATTACTCATAACTTACCTATTCATGGCTTGTTGTATATGAGTTGTTTTGTATTATTCCCAAGGATCAATAAACAGTGTCTCCAACTTGTTTTATCTTATCTATTATTAAGTCAGTCTGAACCATTAATATGAAGGATTTGCGAGGTGAAACTAAACATTCATATGAGGATAGGGAAGAAGATTCATCTGGAGTTGGTTGTCAGCAACAGTTCACCTGTGTCATCACAAAGACCAATGTGTGTATTCAGCCATATTTCACTCATATCACGGGATACAATGTGTCCACTCGGCAATATTTCACTTGTATTACCATATGATACAATATGTCTACACAGCAAAATTTCACTTGTTTCACCATGGGCTACAATATGTCTATTCAGCAATATTTCACTTGTATTACCACATGAAACAATATGTCTACACAGCAAAATTTCACTTGTTTCACCATGGGCTACGATATGTCTACTCTGCAATATTACACTTGTATCTCCTCTACATCAGCGTATGAGGTGTCATCTACATCAGCAACATTTTGCCAATACTGCATCACACATTACTTCACCTGTGTCACCACTGGCTAAAATGTGTATTAATTCAGTAACATTTCATATAAACAACAATAACTTACTATGTAGTCAGCAAATGAATTCAGTTACCTTCTAAAAGCCTTGAACAAGTTAAAAAAGTAATTGAGCTTCTGTTGTCCTTAAGAAAATTTGGTACCTAGAAAGTGGGATGAAGCCTGGAGCAGGCAAACCTTAGTTCTTGAAAGTGTGAGCTTCAGAGTAGTGGTTGACAGTGAGAGCATGATGAGGAATGTTCCTATCAACTGACCAGAATTCAACAAGTCTGATTATTGTATGGCCACCTTTATATATTCTATCTGCACCACACACTATCAGACACAAAACAAAAAAGTTATGTCTTTATTCATGTGCCGTTTCTATATTATGTTCAGAAAGCTGTTTTTGTAAGTAAATTATGCATAAATGTGTTTCCACTAACATGTTGTTTGCTTACAGTTACTTTCCCGACATTTATCGATAATCAATCATTACTTACCAACAATTTTTTAACTCTATGTTCTATATCGATAACCAGACCTAGTACACGAGGGTCACCCTATAGTGTTTACTAACGATAGATCTGTGCTTGCTCCAGGAGGAGCAACTAACGGGATTGGGTGGTCAGGCTCGCTGACTTGGTTGACACATGTCATCGTATCCCAATTGTGTAGATCAATGTGCATGCTGTTGATCACTGGATTGTCTGGTCCAGACTTGATTATTTACAGACCACCGCCATATAGCTGGAATACTGCTGAGTGCGGCGGAAAATAAAACTCACTCACTCCAGGAGATGATTACAGCAAGTAGACAGATGGTTGCCCCGTATAATGTTGATTCATGGTCCGTCAACATCTGTTTACAATACTTGGAGCAAGGTAAAATGGAACCAGATTGCTGCGTTTGAAAAGCAATTAACTTAACATAAGAACATAAACACATAAGAATTGTTTCAAGTTGGTTTATTCCATACTTGGACTACAACACCCCTTCTCCCCACTGTTTGCCTCCGAAACCATGTACACTACCAGATGAAGACACCATTGCTCCATCCTTGTTGGTCACACTGTCACATCACCCTAAAGATTGTACCAACCTTGACGGTCACATGGCCCTTCACACTGTCACATCACCCTAAAGGTTGTATCAACCTTGACGGTCACACTACATTCAACATCTGCTGTATATGCACACATATAAAACACATGACATGTAAAATTCTTGAAACAAAGACATGCCTATGACTATTATCAGTTTTTGATCGAATAAAAAAAGAATCACAACAATTATTTCATCTCAATTAAGTCAGTCACCTTGGAATTAGTTAATCATTACAGATTAGTTTGTTCCTGGTACAGAATACCATCTTGACGTGTCCATGCTCCATTGATGTATTACAAGTACTGTGTCGACAGCACATTGTTGCCCATCATGCTCCCGTAGAGCAATATAACAGGTCATACTTTGGTAACTGCCTCCTGCCTCGTACACTCAGAAGGCATGTCTCTCATAATGCACAAGGTCGTGTTTGTAAAGGTTGCATAAAAGTAAACACGTAAATTACAATGGAATCTTTGGTAAACAGTCTTGCGTAAGCACTTCATTCTGGCGTCAGTGATTGTTAACGCATGAATAAGGCTGATGATGAAACAGGAAATGGGTTTGGGATGCTCACGAGTAAACTGCTTCTTCAGAACAAAATAAAAGAAGTATCCCAGCAATTTGCCTGAGCTCATCTAGTGTATCAAGGACAATAGAATGAATCTGGCATCATCAGGGATCGTAAAACATTACACCAGAGACTGTATACTTGCTACCATGGTAACAAATCTCTGATACCATCAGACTGGACTTACAATCTCTGGTAACATCAGACTAGACATACAATCTCTGGTAACATAAGAATGTTGCATACAAACTCTGTTAACATCAGCGGCCGCCAACAATGGCAGCCAACATCAGAGCCTATATACCATGCACAATATCTGGGAATATCAGAAGCCATATACAATGGCTGGCAATATCGGAGCCTATATATCATGCATAATCTCTGGCAATATCATACATCACACAATCTCTGGTAATATGATATGCTCTCATATACAACACAGTTTTGTAAATAAGGAAATGAATAACTGAATAAACCACTGTCCCACAACTGAGATCTACTGCAGCCTCTTTCAAGTGGATACCTTACACTTGCAGAAGCCTTCTGTGCTCAAGCAGATAAGATACGAAACTAACCTAAACATGACTGACAAACGACATGCATATCAGATGACACCGACATGTTGATGCCATGTTGCAGTACACAACAAAACAAACTAGGCACTACACAATAGATATCTGTTCAACAGAAACTGACCTTGGAGAGTAAATGGCTTATACCACACATCCATACATGGGGTAGTATAACATGGTACATAGAGGTGGACCTTCTTGGCATCTATACCACACATCCATACATGGGGTAGTATAACATGGTACATAGAGGTGGACCTTCTTGGCATCTATACCACACATCCATACATGGGGTAGTATAACATGGTACATAGAGGTGGACCTTCTTGGCATTTATACCACACATCCATACATGGGGTAGTATAACATGGTACATAGAGGTGGACCTTCTTGGCATTTATACCACACATCCATACATGGGGTAGTATAACATGGTACATAGAGGTGGACCTTCTTGGCATTTATACCACACATCCATACATGGGGTAGTATAACATGGTACATAGAGGTGGACCTTCTTGGCATCTATACCACACATCCATACATGGGGTAGTATAACATGGTACATAGAGGTGGACCTTCTTGGCATCTATACCACACATCCATACATGGGGTGTAGTATAACATGGTACGTAGAGGTGGAGCTTCTTGGCATTTATACCACACATCCATACATGGGGTAGTATAACATGGTACATAGAGGTGGACCTTCTTGGCATTTATACCACACATCCATACATGGGGTAGTATAACATTGTACATAGTGGTGGACCTTCTTGGTATTTATACCACACATCCATACATGGGGTAGTATAACATGGTACATAGAGGTGGACCTTCTTGGTATTTATACCACACATCCATACATGGGGTAGTATAACATGGTACATAGAGGTGGACCTTCTTGGCATTTATACCACACATCCATACATGGGGAAGCATAACATGGTACATAGAGGTGGACCTTCTTGGCATCTATACCACACATCCATACATGGGGTAGTATAACATGGTACATAGAGGTGGACCTTCTTGGCATTTATACCACACATCCATACATGGGGTAGTATAACATGGTACATAGAGGTGGACCTTCTTGGCATTTATACCACACATCCATACATGGGGTAGTATAACATGGTACATAGAGGTGGACCTTCTTGGCATTTATACCACACATCCATACATGGGGTAGTATAACATGGTACATAGAGGTGGACCTTCTTGACATTTATACCACACATCCATACATGGGGTAGTATAACATGGTACATAGAGGTGGACCTTCTTGGCATTTATACCACACATCCATACATGGGGTAGTATAACATGGTACATAGAGGTGGACCTTCTTGGCATTTATACCACACATCCATACATGGGGTAGCATAACATGGTACATAGAGGTGCACAAAATTGCAAAGGCCACACATGATCTGTAATACAGGAATTTCTGAAGGCTGTAATACAGGCATTTCTTAATAAAGAACACCCCATACAACTTTCAACAGCAAATATTATAACAATATTACTCTTTAAAACATTTCATTATTTCAGTTCTCTATAAAATTGAACAAAATGATAATACTCTGAGATGTTAATAATTTAGTGCATAATACATCTATTATCTAACACTGCTTTACATTACATACTGGTTAAGCAAAATGTACACATTTCATCATGAGGTGCAAGTACACAGTTCTCACACTGCCATTAGTCCCACTGTAAAGGGTGACCAACTGCTTCAGAGCACCTGCACTGCGACAGTGTTACATTAAGGCAGTACGAGTTATTGCATCGTAATAGTTGTAGTTCTTCTGCTGGTTTACTGCCAAGACAGCTTGACTGAAAAAATTCATACTATTTCCTTCAATACATAGATATACTGACTCCTACCTAGAATATCCGGTATGACTTCCGCCTGAATCCCCCCCCCCCAAAAAAAAAAAAATTTAACGATGAAAACCCCCAGAAACATACATGTATATGGTCAGCTAATATGATTTGAATTGAAGTAGGTTGTGTCCTATGTTCAGATGAAACTGCCAGCATATGTAAGCTGTTAAGGTTAGGTTAAGGGTTAGGGTTAGAGTTAGGGATAAGAGGGGATACGGGCGGAAATCTGTCCGAATATCCAGTGTATTATGTCGCCATTCTATTGTGATATATAACTTTGCCCATTCACAACCAAAGCTTCATTATAGAAGTGTCATAACCACCTGAGTTTCTGGTAGTACAACATCGTACTGATGGTATTGAAAACTTACTGGACAATTAAAAATCGCTTAGGATCGTAAGGTCATAATAGTGTGATCCAATCTCATGCATAATGACCCATGCCCTTAGCAACTGGAGCTAGAGCTGGAGCTAGTACTGGGGCTGCTCTGACTGGTTACCTATGTTGAGCTGTCTTGGAACACAAAGCTTGATTGCATCAACTGTAACTTGCATTGCGATGTGATGGACGACAACTTATCTGTCATGTAGTTTTCACCTACCACAAAAATACAACATCAAAACTGGCTGCGTAAATAAACCATTCTTCCAAAAAGAAACTAATGGCTGGTTCAGTTATAACTTTCTCATAAATGTTTAATGGTAAAAGTGTTATTTGTAAGAACAATCAATGTTAAAATGTCATTAAAATAAGAGATCTAGTTTTTAATCCCAGACATCAACTTTCATCATTTTAAAAATGTAACAAATATATTCATATACCTTGATCAGGGGAATTCTAACATACATCTATTGACCAACATCATGAACACACAGGGTCTGTTAGATCAACGTCCCATCAGACACAAGTAGCTTCCACAGCCAGTGGGAGCCTATGCCCTCCTTGAAAGGCAGCATGTGACCAACTCACACATTGTACTCTCATAGCGCAAGGCATGACAGCCAGGTTAACATTTTAAGCGGACAGAAGGAAGTCTTCCTATCTACTAAAACAGGTCATTGGAACAAGACACATCTGATAGTGCGAACTTATCGAAGAATGACTGGATATGGGTCAACTGTCATCTCAGGCAGAACACTAAAACAGTGCTTATGGTGGTTGTTGACTGAATTCCATATGGTGTAATGTTAATCATGACATTAACTGGTCATGAAATCAATGTGAATGCCAACACCAAGCTTGAATATCAAGTAGTTAATGAAATCACAGACAACATTTTCATTTCAGACGAAATAATAATCACATCAATTTTATGGACTCCAGGCTATGGAACATCGTCCTGCTGTCAACTGAGATTTGCGTCTCACCATACAGAGATGGAAACTAACATTTGTACCCTATCATATAATCTGAGCTTAAGGTAACAGCTGGTCATTTGGTCTAAGGCTGCATCTTGTCTACATCCACCTTTGCATAGATGTAGTTATTTTGAATGCTTTTGTATCAACTGTTGCTTTGGACAGATTCTGTGGGAAGAAGACTGTGTTGTCTACAAGAGAGGGAAATGTCTTATAACTTGGTTACCTGCCACCAATTTATTTTTTGTCCCAAATAGTGTGTGAACACAGAGGACACATATCAAAATCACAAACATGATAAATACGTCAATACACAGTTATAGAAACCCAAATGTCTTTTTTTGCTGACAAACACTACTGAAACAGATCATACCATAGTTAAACAACATTAAGAAACATACTCTCATTGTTAATGTTTGTTCAGAAACTTATCACAACTTTAATATCTAGTGAACTTACAAAATGTTTGATTAAATTAAACATCACAATTAAAAATTCTAAAATAACGTAAGTAAGAATAAGAATTAATGAAACATATTTCAATTCAAATGTAAAAATTTCATCATAGTTATCATGTTAAAACACCCAAGTCATAAAATGCATATTTATTCAGCTAAAGCAAAATGAAACCACTGCAATGCAACGTATCACATGGTCGTCTTTGTTCCAGTATATAACAGTTAAATAAAAAGTAGCAACAAATGAAGAGCCTGCTCTATGGACAATCACCATCAGGGAGTAGCTGTGTACAGGAGACTGTGCTATAATTGCCGTATCTCATGTCCATCTCCTGTCATTGCCTGCAGCTTCTGGCTGACACAAAGGGAGATAACCATGAAATATAGCAGGGACAAAAGATGTACTATTATCATATGCTTTGTTTGTCCCCAGCAAAAGGCGCCTGATTTATGGTCAAAATCTGAAGTTTTAGGTGAAGCTGTTGCCACGGTATTTCAATACAGAGCATAGTTTTCACAACAATGAAGACTTGAAAACAAGTTTACTTTTTGTAAATTGATGTGATTTCTATAATGGATGGAATTATCTTGATGTAATAAGCATATGATAAATAAAGACTCTATGCTGGTGATGAATATGGATACATTGTCCACAATTAGCAAAAAGGAATATGTTTCAAAACAAAAGTTTACTGTTTACCAATGCAAGTGCAGTCTCCACTTACAAATATCAATGACAGAGCAGCACTTCAACAGAATATCCAGATCAACAGTTCCAACTATCTAATGATTTGGAAATACCACGAAGATCCTTGCAAATTAAATTATTTGTTAAATTGAATATCTTTCAAGTCTTTTCATAACTTGTATTGTCATATGACACAATTTAGTCTGAACAAGTTGTAAAAAGAATACTGGTGACATCCCTGGATGTAGGAGTGCTGTGGTAGCCATCTTGATATCTGCAGAGACTGAGCTCAGTTACATGTTGGTTATGTATATTTTCAAAAGAGAGAATATTTAATACCTGAGGGCAAGAACAAATAAATATGTACCTGATTTAATTCTTCTTCACTTCTGTCTAAAGAAAAAGGTATGAACATTATCAGTTAATGCATAAAATGAATTATTGAGCATTTAAAGTGCACGAATGTCAGAGATGGCAAGGTAACTATGTCAACTGAATGTGATTAGATAATTTCTTGCATGAAATAAATAGTATATACAAATGAAGCAAACAAGTCATGGCATATCAAGTGTTGGAACAACAATATAGGAAATATAACATTGTTTTTATTTGCTTAAACCAAATTTGATCTCACAGACATGGTCAAGATTAACTGGCAAGAGTTGTCTCCCCTGAACAATATGCCCCCATGTCCATACTCTAAAATTGCCTGGTTTTCAATCATGATATTTTGCTTCTTGAATTTATTCAGCATTTGGAATGGAATTTGTTTTAAAAGAGGTCAAATTTCAAGGGGTGTACAATAAATATGATTAAAACTGACTGTACAAATATTTACAAACGCATTGAACATAAAATGTTGTATACATTACAATGCTGCATCTTTGGGATGGGGGGAAAGGAGTCATCTATAAATAGCATAATCATTTGCATGAGAAACATGAATCAATGTGACTTATTGTTGTCATGGCAACATGTATAATATCACACCAAGGAAACTGCAAAGGCACAGAAAGGACGTAGAAATTTCCTAGATTCAACTGTCATTATAAATACGTCATTTCAATATCCGACTCTTCTCCAGAATCAATCTCAAATCCATTGGTAGCACATTCATGATTGCTAAAATTAACTTGTATGCCGTCATATTCTTCCGGTTCGGAATCGTCAGTGTGTTGCAGCCATTCCGAAACACGAGATTTCACATCTTGTTGGTATGAAACTTCGTCAAAAATAATCTCTGCTTCAGATGGGCATTTTCTATACACATTGCCGTCTTGCATTTCGATTGGCTGCCAGTGTTTTGGGGACTGGGGTGAAGAAGCTTTCCCTGGCAGGGACAGAGATTTGCGGATCTGTGGAGGCCGATGGAGATGACCCGGAATGATGACGTGGTGCGGAGGTGGAAACACGGAATGTGCAGAGTGGAGCAAGTTGTTTGTCTTGTCGCCATTCTGTATGGAGATTGGTGACGCGATCGGCTCCTCCTCCCCTCCTAAATCCCAGGGATTGGGATTTTTAATGTCCGCCGCAGCCACGATTGGGCTCTCACCTTTCACCTCCACCTTTTGGCTAACATTTGCCTGGAAGATTTCAAATACAGATGGTGTGTGTGTTTGTTCGGGGGGTGCAGTAAGCGTAGTCTGTGGTGACACATATGGCGACCCAGATTCCAGAAGATTGTGGTAAGATGGATTGCTCACCCAAGATGGTGCCTCTGACATGAGAGGCTTTTCATCATCGGCCATGATTAGCGTGGTGAGGCTCGGCACAATGTCGTCTGTAGAGATTCGTTTCCATGGCAATGTTCTCTCTGCTGCAGTCTCCTCAACAGGAACCTTCTGGTCTGTGTCGAGCATTGGTGCTGGAAAAAAGGGAAAATAAACCAGTTCATGAAACAGAACACTTATTGGCATTAATAATGCTAAGACATGAAGTGAACGAACCCATCACAATACACCTCTTTTAGCGGTTGTTTTCCTAGCTTCCCATTGATGGAAACATTTGTATGTAATTACATTGAAACATTGTTCATAGGTCATCATCACTCAGCTGTATAATTGAGGACTACAGTGTTAAACAACTGACAAACACCCATCTGATGATTCAGCCTATACACATTGGCCTAATTGAGTCATTCAACCTTAATGAAGCATCTCCATTATTCAGCCTATACACAGTAAACCTTATCAACATAAACATTGGTTCAACAGTTCAGCAACTGCTACATGAATCAGCTACATAACATGGCTCCATGCGCCATCTCCCATTCAATAGCTCTATTAATCTGCTATATACACTGCTTCATGAGTGTAATGTACAATGACTCCATGGTTCAAGTATATACAATGACTCCATGGTTCAAATATATACAATGGCTCCATGGTTCAAGTATATACAATGGCTCCATGATTCAAGTATAAACAATGGCTCCATGGTTCAAGTATATACAATGGCTCCATGATTCAAGTATAAACAATGGCTCCTGGATTCAAGCATATAAATGGCTCCATGGTTCAATTATATACAATGGCTCCATGGTATAAATATGTACAGTGGCTCAAGTATATACAATGGCTCCATGGTTCAAGTATGTACAATGGCTCCAGACTTACACATGTCGCCTTCCAGGTTTGAGGAGGACCCAACTGAGAAGACAACTTTGTTGCTTGTGGTGGACTCCTGGGCAGGCATCAAACTGTTGGTGAATTGATCCACTGCTGAAACACACGACAGTTATTAAACATCCATTGGGAGTGAGTGAGTGCGTGACTTGACACTTTGCTTTTAGTAATATTACTATTATGGATGGAGTGAGTGAGTTTAGTTTTACACCGCTTTTAGCAATATTCCAGCATTATCACGACAGGGGGACACCAGAAATAGGCTTCACATGTTGTACTCATGTGGGGAATCGATCCTGGGTTATCCATATAACCATTAGTTTACTCCACACCCCTTAACATGGACCGAAAAATGTCATAAAATGGCAAATGGGTTGGTGTGAACTGTTTACCTGGCTGTTCTGAGTTGGATTTTGTATCATTACTGAAGGTGACCACTTTGACGCTCTGAGGTTCTACCATGCTGGGAGTGCCATTTTGGGGAGTTCCTCTGCGAGTCTTGTAGGCCTGGCTGATGAGGCGACGAAGTTGGTAGCGTTCCTTGTGCCGAAACGGAGGATGATTGCGGACTTCTGCTAGTGAATACTTCTTATCTTTTACCCACTGTAAGAAAACAAGCAATAACTTGAAAAACTGACATGATAGCAGTTGGCAACATAAAGAAATATATGCATGTTACCTGAAGCTGTAATATATATGACGGCAAAATATCTTGACCCATTTTCTTAAAAGAAAATCTGTGCAGTTGTAAGAACTGCAAGAACCAAGCCAGAAGGTCACTACCTTCAAGAGATTCATAACTATTCCTCAATTCAGTGAGATCACTGGTGTAATAAGGTCTGGGCTAACTAAACTGATCCAAACAAACAAAGTCTGAACTAAACACACCACATCTAACAAGGTCTAAACTAAAGAGGTCCAACAGACAAGGTCCAGACAGAAGAGGACAAAACCAACATGGTCCAAAATGAAGAGGTCCCACCAACAAGTTCCAGATAGATGAGGTCACAGCTAGAAAGGTCTGGCTAAAGTGATACCAGCTATCAAGATGTGGACTGAAGAGGACCAACCAACAAGGTCCAGGCAGAAGAATACAAACCAACACGGTCCAGACTGAAGAGGTCCAACTAACAAGGTCCAAACAGAAGATGACAAATCAACACAGTCCAGACTGAAGAGGACCAACTAACACGGTCCAAACAGAAGAATACAAACCAACACGGTCCAGACTGAAGAGGCCCAACTAACACGGTCCAAACAGAAGATGACAAACCACCACGGTCCAGACTGAAGAGGCCCAACTAACAAGGTCCAAACAGAAGAATACAAACCAACACGGTCCAGACTGAAGAGGACCAACTAACAAGGTCCAAACAGAAGATGACAAACCAACACGGTCCAGACTGAAGAGGACCAACTAACAAGGTCCAAACAGAAGATGACAAACCAACACGGTCCAGACTGAAGAGGACCAACTAACAAGGTCCAAACAGAAGATGACAAACCAACACGGTCCAGACTGAAGAGGTCCAACTAACAAGGTCCAAACAGAAGATGACAAACCAACACGGTCCAGACTGAAGAGGACCAACTAACAAGGTCCAAACAGAAGATGACAAACCAACACGGTCCAGACTGAAGAGGTCCAACTAACAAGGTCCAAACAGAAGATGACAAACCAACACGGTCCAGACTGAAGAGGACCAACTAACAAGGTCCAAACAGAAGATGACAAACCAACACGGTCCAGGTCAAACCAACACGGTCATGACAGAAGAGGACAAAAGATCCAGGAAGAGGACCAACTAACCAGAAGATGACAAACCAACACGGTCCAGACTGAAGAGGACCAACTAACAAGGTCCAAACAGAAGATGACAAACCAACACGGTCCAGACTGAAGAGGACCAACTAACAAGGTCCAAACAGAAGAATACAAACCAACACGGTCCAGACTGAAGAGGACCAACTAACAAGGTCCAAACAGAAGATGACAAACCAACACGGTCCAGACGGAAGAATACAAACCAACACGGTCATGACAGAAGAGGACAAACAACACGGTCCAGACAAAAGATGACAAACTAACACCGTTCAGATAGCAGAGGTCACAGCTAATAAGGTCTGGTCTAAAGTGATACCAACTAACAAGATATGGACTAAAGAGGTCCAGCTGACAATGCTTAGACAGAAGAGGTCCAACTGACAAGGTCCAGACAAAGGAGGTCACAGCTAAAAAGGTCTAGGCTAAAGTGATACCAGCTAATAAGGTACGGATGGACTAAAGAAGTCTCACTGACAGTCCACTCAAAAGAGGTCAGAACATCAATGTTTGGACTTAAGTGGTCACAGATAACAAGAAGAGTTTTGACTTAAGTGGTCACAGATAACAAGATCTGGAGAAATTGGGTCTAACCACCAACTTCCAAACTGAAGACATCCCAGCTAGGACGTTCAAACAAGAGGGGTCTCTTCGACAAGGTCAGGACTACAGTGATCTAAATGACAAGGTCTGGGCAAAATAGATCTTAGTGAATAAGTCAGAAAATTCAAGGTCTAGCTTTGACAAGGTCCAGACCATAAAGGCCTAACTGACAAGGTTAGGACTATAGAGGAGTAAATGACAAGGACCAGGCAAAACAGATTTTCTTAAACAAATAATTTTCCTCCAAAAACAATCATGAGACGACTAATGAAACCATTTATAATCACAAGTTATACAGATTCATATTAGATGGAAGAGGTTATGGCCCTACCCTGCTTTTGTCACTAGTCAAGCCAGCAAAAGGCTTAACACGTTCAATCTGTTTGTGCTACCCCCAAACCCCTACAAGACAGATGTGACAATGACTTACACAAACACTGCTTTCCTCCCACTGATTAAATTTTTCCTACACGAAGGAGTTCGCAGACACAAGGACGTCACCCACGTGGTAAATAAGGAACATAGCAAAGCGTGACAAAATGACACATCACCACTTCAAACCTTACTGTTTGGGATTGATTACAAAGCATAATGTGATCCAGCATCACAGTTCTTCATCACATCAGCATGTTGAAGTAATCAAGGTTACTAGTCAGTAAACCTCAATGCAAACAACCTGAGCACAGTGATACTGACCTACCTCAATCACATATCCACTGATGCCCAGATTACAGCAGGGTAGATTTGTGGTCTCTGGGCAATACTTATATCCACATTCCTTCAATTGATTTGTGTACCACTCTCCCAGCATCTGTTCAAGCTAATAATACACTGTTTGGCAGGAGTGCAAGAAATCTACATTGTTTCTTGTGTAAGGATTCTTGTGACGTCAATTATATCACCGAGGTCCTTCACTGCTATGTTTACGACAAACTTAACAGTTTTGTTTACCTCCTGGTAACTGTCAACCTTGGGAAATCATGACTTGGGTGTTACACTGCTATAATCAGGGATGAAGCCTCTACTTTCAGAGGTATAATCCCATCTTTTAGTGGTATAGATGCTACTTTCAAGGGAATAGTCCCATCTCATAGTGGTATAGTTGCTACTTTCAAGGGAATAGTCCCATCTTTTAGTGATATAGATGCTACTTTCAAGGGAATAGTCCCATCTCTTAGTGGTATAGATACTACTTTCAAGGGAATAGTCCCATCTTTTAGTGGTATAGATTCTACTTTCAAGGGAATAGTCCCATCTCATAGTGGTATAGATGCTACTTTCAAGGGAATAGTCCCATCTCTTAGTGGTATAGATGCTACTTTCAAGGAAATAATCCCATCTTTTAGTGGTAAAGATGCTACTTTCAAGGGAATAGTCCCATCTCATAGTGGTAGAGTTGCTACTTTCAAGGTATAGTCCCATCTCATAGTGGTATAGTTGCTACTTTCTAAAGTATACTCACATCTCTTGGTGGTATAGTTTCTACTTTCTAGAGTATAGTCACATCTTTTAGTGGTAGAGTTGCTACTTTCAAGGGAATAGTCCCATCTCATAGGGGTATAGATGCTACTTTCAAGGGAATAGTCCTATCTCTTGGTGGTATAGTTGCTACTTTCTAAAGTATACTCACATCTCTTGGTGGTATAGTTTCTACTTTCTAGAGTATAGTCACATCTTTTAGTGGTAGAGTTGCTACTTTCAAGGGAATAGTCCCATCTCATAGTGGTATAGATGCTACTTTCAAGGGAATAGTCCTATCTCTTGGTGGTATAGTTTCTACTTTGTAGAGTATAGTCACATTTTTAAGTGGTATAGTTACTACTTTCAAGGGAATAGTCCCATCTTTTAGTGGTATAGTTGCTACTTTCAAGGGAATAGTCCCATCTTTTAGTGGTATAGATGCTACTTTCAAGGGAATAGTCCTATCTCTTAGAGGTATAGTAGCTAGTTTCTAAGGTATAGTCACATCTCTTGGTGGTATAGTAGCTACTTTCAAGGGTATTATCATGTCTCTATGGGGTAAAGTACCTAGTCTGAGCTGTTACTTTCAAGTTTATAGTCACTACTCTCACTGGAATAGTTGCTACTCTCAAGGGAATAGTCATTACTCGACTGACTGAGTGACTGAGTTTTGGTTTTACGCCGCTTTTAGCAATATTCCAGCAACATCACGGCGGGGGACACCAGAAATGGGCTTCACACATTATACCCATGTGGGGATTCGAACCCGGGTCCACGGCGTGACGAGCCAACGCTTTAACCACTAGGCTACCCCACCGCCCCCATTACTCGAAGGGGGTATAGTGACTACAATGTGTATAGAATATACCAAGTAAATCAGCACTAAATTTTCTTTCGCAGCTTAACACAACGAATGCCATGTCAGGTTACAGGCTGATCCACAATCAGTTCTGTGAAACTGCCTGATTACTGCTAACCCTCGAAACAGTTTGTCGCCCTTTAATGTCCCCTGTTGTCAACCCCCCAGTGATGTCAGTTTCCCTGTGTGTGACCAGCTGGTACCTGTCAGGAGATAATAGTGGCATCCTTCATCCTGTGGGTCCCTATCCCTCCTGTTGTTAGGCAATGTCAACCCCTCACCAATGTCAGTACCTGTCAGGAGATAATAGTGGCACCCTTCATCCTGTGGGTCCCTATCCCTCCTGTTGTTAGCCAATGTCAACCTCTCACCAATGTCAGTACCTGTCAGGGGATAGTAGTGGGGCTGAAGGGGGTCGTTGTCAGCACAGGTTCTACAGATATGTACCCCAGGTACGTTTCTGTATACACATATGTACCCTAAACAAAGTCAAAATACAGAAACATACCTGGTACCCTAAAAGGCGGACAAGTCCATATTCCGCAATCCAAAACCGAAACCGCATAAAGTTGTTCCCGTTCAACTGATTCCGAGTGGTATTCATATGCATCGAAATATCCGTTACTGTGTATTCTCATTACTTACATGACGCAATCAAATGTATCTAATACAACAGCATGACAGTTCTGATCAAGAATACGACACAATGGGAATGGAATCGTCCTAGGGTACGTTTCTGTATTCTCATTATGGCCAGGGTACATATCTGTGTACAGAAACGTACCTATGGTACATATCTGTAGTACCCGTGCCGACAACGACCCCTTCAGCAGTAGTGGGAGTCAGCATGTGCTGAAA